GATAGTCTCTTTGCTTGAGAGCTAGGGATAGGGTGGTGTCCCGATTTTGAAAAAGACACGATAACAAATATATTGGTTTTAGTACTGAATCCCATCATAAAGATAAAATATATCGTGTATAGGGCTTCAGGTAATGAGCGCAACTCAGAGGCCTCGGGTTTGGGGGGTTAAAAGTAGCGAGTGCTAACAACCATACCGAAGTAGCGAAGCTACTGCGTTCAAAGACGGCAATTAACCGAGCTCGATTCATATTTTAACGTCGTACTTCAGTACTGACAAGTCTACTTGACATGTTGTAGCCGATAAAAAAATCTTTAGTGCAACATAATTGCTTCAAGTTTGGTCATGTGCAACATAATTATTCGAAAGTTGCTGGAGCAACTTCCACAAATCCCAAACCAATGTCGTCGCCACCTCCGCCTCCTCCTCGCGCTTCCACATGTCATCGATCTCATCTCTTCCTTCCTGATACCATTGACAGCGCCGTCTACAACGAGCTGCACCGCGTGCTCCGTGTCTACCAACACTCTCGTCCACACACACAACCAACGCTATGGACGGCGCCGCAGCTCTCGGAAAGTTGGACCTCCTCAAACGATTACATTCCAACATACCAGAGGACTGCTCCAATGCTGCCTTCGTCAATGCAGCGGCCAACCGCCACCTTAATGTACTCGAGTGGCTCTATGAATTCTACCTGCAGAGGGCTAACCCAGCCGAGGAAATTATTAGAGCTGCTGAATGTGGTTATATGGACATCGTAAGGTTCTTGAACCGAAAGTAAGGAGGGAGGAGGTAGAATCTGCTCCTGAGGCTGTTGCTGCTGCGCATGGACATATTACAGTTCTGGAGCAGCTTTCGCACCGACCGTACTGTATGAGGAAAGCTCTGTTGGCAGTAGCAGAGAATGATCAGACACGAGTTCTGCAGTATATGCTGGATCGAGGGTTTCACGATAAGTATTGGATATAAACCCAGCTGTAATTAAGGCTGCGGAGGGAGGACATTGTGACGGTGCAATCTGTTGATTGACATTAGTGGTGACTTCACCATTGGCGATGCATTGATAACCGCGGCGGTGGATGGATGGCATGGTGTTGCACAGTTATTACTGGAGCGAGAGGGAATAGACAAGCTAACGGTTGCATATGCTCCAGAAAAGGCTGCGTAGAACGATAAGTGTTCCTTGGTGGCTCAGCATTTCAATGCCATGGAGAGGGCCGTCGTGGGGAATGACGAAGTTTGCGAACTGAAAACGTTCGGCCCGGAAGTATTGTCATCATTCGGTCATTAAATGGGGTTGTGGGACTCGGTCGTGTCCGTATTGCCCAGTTATTATTGTTAGCTACTGTAGTTCACTTGGCGATGCTAGCAACTCTCAATGCCACAGAAAAAGTCCTGGCGTTCATGCTTGATATCTGCAACTACAGAACCCCTTCTTCAATGAAAGTATCACACATGCCATTCAAACAGCAGCGTGGAGTCAAAACACCAACATGGCTACACTGGTTACCACTAAATGTAAGACGTTGAGCACGGGTGATGCCTTAGCATGAGCAGTGGATAATGACGACATTGAGATGCTACGAGTTCTTATTACGAAAAGTAATTCCGTTTCGGTTCAAGATGCTTTGGGGAGAGCAGCAGTACTGAATCTGGTGGAAATGTTGGAGATCTTGCTCGAACACTCAAGTTCGGACTCGACTGGAATCCCGTGTGCTTTCGAAATAGCAGTAGTACGAGGCCAAGTAGGTGTCGCTGAACGCCTTCGCGACAGATGCAATCGTGATAATATCAACTTCGGTATATCGGCTGGAGAAGTGGATGTGGTTTGACAGCTGTGAGCTAAGCGTGCTCGGCTCAAGTAACTTCCAACTTCATCTGGATACTTGTTCATTGGAAAAGAGACATCGTCGATTATAAATCCCGTCGTCGTTAACTCTTTTTTCCTAATCGTGTCATCCTGGTCAGCCTGTCCTAAGGCTTCTTTGGCGCGTCGAGAGGCAATGGCACAGATCTCCACCATCATGAAGAGCAAGCCGAGAACTGTGACGCCCCAGGTCGTGTTGGCCGGTGGGCACGCACCAAAGTATTTTTTTGTGCGCAGCACTCAGCTTTGTGGCATTGTCACTCAGACCGACAACCATAGCACCGGCGTGCACAATTTGACTGCGTGTGGCTCCGATCGCCGCTAGACACATATCCAGATTGGCGAACGCTGCCTTGCACTGCTTCTCGAAGTCACTTTCGCCAATAGCATTCCCTTCATCGTCCTGGGCGAATTGACCAAAAATCCACGCCGTCTCGTTGGTGACGACCACCTGGCTGTAGTTATGTGCATCTTCCCATGGTAGACCGTGCGGATACGTCTTGGGGGCCTTCGACAAATTCGGGCGGACCGTGAACTTGATCTCCACCTGAGCGCCTGGCATACCCAGTGCCACCACGCCCCAACATGCGCTTGCTGGACGGTACGAGCCAAAGAACTTCTTGTGCGCGGCGTTGAGCTTCTCGAAGTTGTTGCGGATGTTGGCGATCAGCACTTCCGTGTGGACAATCTGATTGCGTGTAGCCCCAATCTCAGCCAGGCGCTTGTCAATGTTCTTAAACGCTTGCTCACACTGCGCGTCGAAGTCGCCACCACCTCTCATTTTGCCTTCATCATTGTGGTCGAACTGGCCTGATACCTCCACCGTCGATCCGCACTTCACAATCTGGGCGTAGCCGGCCTCGACTTCCGAGGACATGCCGTTTGTGATGGCCGTGTGGTCCTTCGGCAGATCAAGACGCACCGTGAACTTGATCTCCACCAGCATGTGCGGGATGGAGAGCTTCGTAACGACCCCACACAGTGTTTGCTGGCCGATGGGACCCGAAGAATTGTTTGTGTTTGGACCCCACGATCTCCAGGTTCTTGGCCAAAACAACCACCAGCACCTCTGAATGCACGACCTGATCGCGCGAAGCACCAACATCTGCGAGACTTATCAAGATTCATAAAAACTGCGTCGCATTGTGCAGCGAAGTCGCCTTCACCCACGAGCTTTTCGCCTTCGTGAGCGAATTGACCGGAGAAGTATGCGGTCTGGCCTACGCGCACGACCTGCACATACCCGTGCTGGTCTTCCCAAGGAAGATTGTGCTTGTAAGTCGAGTAATTAGACTGCAAGAGCATGGTCGTGAGGGGTCTTGGTTGATTTAGTTAACTTAGTCGAGGCGTGGGGGATTGTACAATGAGCTTCTTGCTGTTTTTCTGTGGCATTGAGAGTTGCTAGCATCGCCAAGTGAACTACAGTAGCTAACAATAATAACTGGGCAATACGGACACGACCGAGTCCCACAACCCCATTTAATGACCGAATGATGACAATACTTCCGGGCCGAACGTTTTCAGTTCGCAAATTTCGTCATTCCCCACGACGGCCCTCTCCATGGCATTGAAATGCTGAGCCACCAAGGAACACTTATCGTTCTACGCAGCCTTTTCTGGAGCATATGCAACCGTTAGCTTGTCTATTCCCTCTCGCTCCAGTAATAACTGTGCAACACCATGCCATCCATCCACCGCCGCGGTTATCAATGCATCGCCAATGGTGAAGTCACCACTAATGTCAATCAATAGATTGCACCGTCACAATGTCCTCCCTCCGCAGCCTTAATTACAGCTGGGTTTATATCCAATACTTATCGTGAAACCCTCGATCCAGCATATACTGCAGAACTCGTGTCTGATCATTCTCTGCTGCTGCCAACAGAGCTTTCCTCATACAGTACGGTCGGTGCGAAAGCTGCTCCAGAACTGTAATATGTCCATGCGCAGCAGCAACAGCCTCAGGAGCAGATTCTACCTCCTCCCTCCTTACTTTCGGTTCAAGAACCTTACGATGTCCATATAACCACATTCAGCAGCTCTAATAATTTCCTCGGCTGGGTTAGCCCTCTGCAGGTAGAATTCATAGAGCCACTCGAGTACATTAAGGTGGCGGTTGGCCGCTGCATTGACGAAGGCAGCATTGGAGCAGTCCTCTGGTATGTTGGAATGTAATCGTTTGAGGAGGTCCAACTTTCCGAGAGCTGCGGCGCCGTCCATAGCGTTGGTTGTGTGTGTGGACGAGAGTGTTGGTAGACACGGAGCACGCGGTGCAGCTCGTTGTAGACGGCGCTGTCAATGGTATCAGGAAGGAAGAGATGAGATCGATGACATGTGGAAGCGCGAGGAGGAGGCGGAGGTGGCGACGACATTGGTTTGGGATTTGTGGAAGTTGCTCCAGCAACTTTCGAATAATTATGTTGCACATGACCAAACTTGAAGCAATTATGTTGCACTAAAGATTTTTTTTATCGGCTACAACATGTCAAGTAGACTTGTCAGTACTGAAGTACGACGTTAAAATATGAGTCGAGCTCGGTTAATTGCCGTCTTTGAACGCAGTAGCTTCGCCACTTTGGTATGGTTGTTAGCACTCGCTACTTTTAACGCAGCCTCCAGTTCTTCCTCGCTCAACCGCCTCCACAGAAGTTCTACCACGCGAACGTGACCGTTTTCAGCGGCGGCTCTGACCATGTCTTGTGGCCGGGCCAATCTGGCATAGAACTCATTGAGCCACCACAGCACCTCCAGATGAGCGTGAGCTGCCGCACCGACGAATGCGGCGGATGAGCAGCCTTCACTTCGAGTATTTTGCAGTCTTTGGAGAATATCGAGTCGCCCTTTGGCAGCAGCGCCGTCCATAGCTCCAACAGTACACGGAAGAACAGCTTCGTAGTCTTTGGCCAGTCTATGGAGATCGTTGTAGATAGCACCGTCTAGTGTTCTCGGTAGGAGTAGATCGTTGACGATCTGGAGGACGTGCGGGAGGGGTTCAAACTTGGGTGAACGTGCTAGCTTTACGCGTAGTAGCAAAGGAAACTCCATTTAGTCTCCGGTTTCAATAGATTGTAGGAGTCGAAGAGTGAACAAGTGATGGTGGAACGCAAAGTGAGTAGCAGTAGCTTGCGTTAGAACAATCCACTCAGCGTTGCGGCCAGCTTGAGCACAGAATATTCCCTATCGTTGAGAGCTCGTCGAATATTCACCTCCACGCCTCCTCTGGCCACGCAGAATATGCCGGTACGACAAACGTCGTTCGCACCGAGGCAATCGCCAAATTCTTGTCAATATGTCGTCAATGACAGCAACACTTCTTCGCCCAGTCACGCTCAGCAATACAGAAACAGAAATCCATTTGTATCAACTTTTCCACGGATAAAAACACTTGTGTTGTGTAACAACTGCTGCAACGAATACGGTTGACAGTGTTCCCCACCGCTACTCCCCGAGTGGCTTTAGGTCATCTCTCGTCTCCTGTAGGGCCCGCAAAGGCGTATGGAACGTTAGAATGGCCATTGACCTCGTAGTAGCGGAATAAAGTGAGCACAAGGATATTATCCCACCGATCTTGACGAGGCTACACATCTGTGTAAAGTGGAGCTTCTCAATCTCGTATCGAAAGAGGCTGGCAGCTAGTGGTTCCCACCCGTTTGCATTATGCATCTCACTCACCCCACCGCCGAGTCTGTAGCCCCACGACACTTTGAGCCACCGGTCATCGCTGTCGGAACCACAAAATAATGGGGCACGAGAGTGTGACACCGTTCAGCTCCTTCTAGACATGGAGGGCATGGTACGATTCGCTGTAGCCAATCACGCGTTTTCCTTTGGACTACGTCTTGTTCTTCATCTTCACTTGATGCTGGTATTGCATTGGTGTATGTGAGAGACAATAGAGCGTGGCAGCGGGCAGGTTCCAATGCCGCCTTGAGGTCGCTGCAAAGTTTATTTGGGATTTAGAAATCACCCACCATTGCATCCAACAGCTTGTTCTACCATCTGCAAGTTTCAGCATCGTTAAGCTGAAGCAGAAAGTTGATACGAACTATAGGGTCTCCTCAGCAACGTTGATCAGAGACCCTTTATCTGATCCAGAATGTGTAAACGTACCAAGTCTCCAATCAACATCGCTGAACTCCGGTAGAAACCCAGGTGATAAGGCCTCATATTTGACATTGAAAGCCCTAGTTTTACCCTTAGGAAGTATTTTCTATGTTTTACGTTTTGCGTAAATATACGACTTTTGTAGCTCCATCACCATAGTAAAAAAATGTTCAATTAATAATTGTTCATGGTTCTATATCCTTCTTTCTCAGGCTGTTTGACAAAGCCGTTGTTGTTGTTTTACACGGAGAAGATCTGGATTACCTATACATAAGTGTTGTCTTTGTGCAGGATGGTTGCTACACAATACGCTTCCTGATATTCGGACGCCTTGTTCTAGCAGTACGCACACTACTGGTGGTAGGCATCTGATGCGCCTACACCGCAGCCGCGTCATCCGCGCGCTGGTATCAGCTGAAGTTTGTTCGGGCACAACTCACACGGATTAAAATTACTTCGGCTAGTCGTAATTTACCGTGATGTTACGGTTGGCCGCCACAAGCAACATTCACCATAGTGGCATTACTTGTGCAAAGGATATCAGATATACATCGCGAGTCTACTTGAGTAAAGTATGGGTATCATATCTGAAATAAGCTGAAATGACGCGTTATGTAGGTTCAGGAGAGTACGCCCACTGTTTTTTAGTACGACAATACAGCCTAGATCTTATATAACAGGCATATCAAGCTCTCAAGTAACTATACCTAAGTTCTGTGCTGACAATATTAGTTTGGGCTCTGCGTATAAGAAGTTCAAGTAGTTTTGGGTCAGAATCACTCTAAAATCCATAGAATTTCAGAGAAATTCATGTTGGCTGACACTAACTGTAAGATAAAGCTTCACGACAAGGAAAGTTTTTTTTTTTATCAAGTATTGTCGTCGATTGGAGGCAGCCTGCGGCAATACCGCCAGCTTGGTAACGCGCTGAGTTTATATTGCAACATAGACCCTCAATATTCAAATCGTGTTGATGTCAGCATTGATACAAAAGGAGCAATTTCGCTCTGCTGCCCTTTACGGCCGCAATTCTGAGAGCTTATCCGTCAAAAAGGGTATGCAAGCTCGGTCTGCAGTAATATGTCTAATGCGGCCACAGCCGTAGACAATGAGATTCGTACTCGGGAAAAGAAATCATAGTCGCACGGCCACACAACTACTAAATTAACATAAACGCTAATACAAAAACCGAATGACGTCTAGATTTTGTAATCCAAAAATGGCTCGGACACTCAAATGTGGCCACTGGTTAACAACACTCCTTGGAAATCAACAAGCGTATCGTCAATAGCACACGCCACTGCATCCAACACCCAACTCATTTCCACTGCTGTACCCACTGGAAATCCAACGGCGGAACCGGTGTCCAAAAGATATGTGAACCCATGGAGACTGGAGTTCCACGACTTTTCAAGATCTCGACTTGAGCCTCGCGATCTACTGCTCACTCTGCAATTTGCTCCTTCGAGTTCAAGTACAAAGCCTCTCCAAACCTCCAACCAGCCAAGATGAAGATCTTCGCGCTTACCGCTGCAATCGCTGCATTCTCCGCCGTGGAAGCCGCCGACCAAGCCTCCATCCACCTGCGAGTCCACGACAAGGGCTCGTGCACCATCACCAACGAGTCCCAATGCAACGGGCAGAACTGGACGGGCAGCACTTGCTGTGCTGATCCCAACTACGAATGCCGCCGGGACGACTATGGTCAGAATGTGGATCGCTGCCAGAAGAAAAAGGGCTCGAGCACTAACCCGGGCACCGGCAATCCCGGCACCGGCAGTGGTGTTGCCGACTGGGGTGCCTGCACTGGCGGGCTGGCGTGTAAGACCCCGGGCAGTGTCTGCGTCAAGCACTCCAACTACTACTCGCAGTGCAAGCCCGCCACTCTACCGACCGGTGAACTCTGCGGCCAGAACGACGGCACGAACGTGTGGAAGTACGACAAGTGCCCGAGCAACCAGAAGTGCGCACCTTTGGGCACGGACTTCCGCTGCACCAACAAGAAGCACCACAAGAAGAGTGCCACGAAGGACGAATCGTGCACCATCACTAACGAGTCCCAGTGTGACGGACAGAACTGGACGGGCAGCACGTGCTGTGCCGACCCGAACTACGAGTGCCGCCAGTCGGATGACGGCCAGGACGTCAAGCGATGCCAGAAGATCGGTGATGGTGGCTACACGGACTCGGAGGACAGCTACGTTGACGACGATGACTACAGCTACACGGACGACTACAGCTACGTTGACGACGTTGAGTACACGAGCTACGTGGACGACTGGGGTGACTGCACTAGTGATTATGTGGGCTGCTCGAACCCGACGAGCTACTGCGTCTACCACTCGAAGCATTACGCACAGTGCAAGCCCGAGATTCTACCCCCGGGAGAGCTCTGTGGCCAGGATGACGGAACCAACGTGTGGTGGTACCCTTACTGCACCAGTGGTGAGAGCTGCCAGCCCTTGGGATCGGACTACCGCTGCACGAAAAACAAGAAGCGCCACCACCACCACCGTCGCCAGCGCCGTGCGTAAGTATAACGCGGCAAGAGGCTGACGAGGCATTTGATCTTGACGCAGCAGGCTTCCGCTGCTGCACACCACTTCATATCCATTGACTTAGCTTAGCTGTAAGTGAGGCCATTCACGGAGAGTAGCTCCATGGACGCTTCAACATGAATATCATCTGATGCGTTTGAAATCTGGAAGGAGGATCCCGACCCAATTCGCGGAAGCATCCTCTGTATTTAATCCTGGTAGAGCAGAGTCTGTATCCACCCAGCGCTATTTTACGATGCACTAAAACTACATTCGCTTCCAAACTCTTTGGAGATTGGAACCTTAGAAAAGGCTATAATACCAGTCTAGGATTCTAAACACCGCAAATGGCTAAGGCTTCCTCTTTTGTTCTTAAAGATCCAATGTGTCCATTCACCTGAGATCGCAAGAACTCAGGCATGGGTTGCTGGCTGGCGTAGAAATCAGCTCGCAGTTCTTTGCCGGCGGAACACAAGAGCTCACTTCACAATCTTCCCAGCAAGCCTCAAGTCTCGGCCAGCTTTCAAGATCGCACTCAACTCAAGATGAAAATCATCGCTTTCGCCGCCACCGTTGTCGCCACGCTCTCAGTCGCCGGCGCTGCTGGGCAGGCTTCTGTTCACCTGCGTATCCACGATAAGAACTGGTGCACCATCACCAACGAGTCCCAATGCAACGGGCAGAACTGGACGGGCAGCACTTGCTGTGCTGATCCCAACTACGAATGCCGCCGGGACGACAATGGTCAGAATGTGGATCGCTGCCAGAAGAAAAAGGGCTCGAGCACTAACCCGGGCAACGGCGGGAATAACGGTGGTTCGTGCACGATCACGAACGAGTCCCAATGTGACGGCCAAAACTGGACTGGCAGCACGTGCTGCGCAGACTCGAGCTACGAATGCCGCTGGGACGACAACGGCCAGAACGTCAAGCGCTGCCAGAAAAAGCACTGGTAAGCTGGTATCGTCGTCACTACGGCCCTTGGACGTAGCTGAAGACAACAATCATGCCAACCTCACTGCTTCACATTTCTTTACATGGTTGTAACTGGGATTTTAACAGCATTTTGCTCCAAAATGAATATATAAAACCACGAGTTTATTCCCATCGTGTAAGACAGGGATGATTCTACCTCGTCAGATTTGTTAATCTTACAAGGCTATTCCCCTCCAAATCTGCTTGGTGTCATGATATGGTATGTTTGTTCCCATCAAAGTTGGAAGTATCAATCACATTTTATTCATAGTTTACTAGTCGGGGGATTAGCAGCTCTCTCGTGCTACTAAGCAGGAGTCTCGTTGTTTGTCGTTCTTCTTCTTGTCTAGCTAGCCGAATGCTAATTGTGAACATCACACTGCGTCGGAGTCCAGCGGTGTGGGGACTGGAACAGAGTACTCAAGTTATCTCCAGCTTTCTCGGTCCTCATAGTTGTATGTCATTTGATGTGGCATGTTACGTTGGTTCAATTGACTTTCTCGACTGGATTTGGAGTCTGAGTCCCAGATCTGCTGCTGACAGGACCAACAACTGGTCGCTTACAAACTTCCTTCGCTCAGATCTGCATTATCATCGCTGGCAGTTCGCTAAGTCGCTAAGAGTTGCAGCTTCCGAAGGCAACTTGACCGTTGTGAAGTGGTTGTTTGAACATTTTTCGGATTGCACAGCGTCTATCAAAGTTGCTGCCATCGCAAAAGCCAAAGGACATCTCATTGTGTTACAATATCTATGGGAACACAGAGATGTGAGTCAAAGCGAACGACAACAGGGGAAATGCTCAGTAAAGTTTTCAAATAATGGAAAAGAAATTGAGTGGGGATATGAAGTGATACAAAAAGCTGTCGAGAATGGTCAAATAAGTCAGTGCCTGAAGCATCTTGGAGATGCTGATCGGATCTCAGCTCTTCGGTGTTCATTGGAAATTGGCGACATGGAGCTGGCACAGTTGTTGGTTCCAAAAAAATCGGGGCGTGCTAGACTACGCCACGGGAAATTCACACGTGGAAGTTCTTCAATTATTACTGAATGCTGGATATTTAACATGCAACAGTGAACTCGCGGCGTCGGCACTTCCGAGGGCTGCTGCTCAAGGTTCTCTGCAGTTTATTCAACGGATTTGTCAACTTCATTCTCCTCTACCGAAGCGTCATAAACTATGGGAATCCTATTGGGGTGTTGCGCTAAAACAAGCATGCGCTCGTGGGGATCTTCCCATCTTTCAGTGGTTTGTAGAGCACCCGCTTGGGAGCAAAGCATACGCAAAGATACAACAAGAAGATCCTTGTTTCCTCCAAATTGCTGCCGAACATGATCACGTTTATGTGATGCAGTATCTTTACAAGCAGGGATGGACTGATGGATACGACGTTGCTATGATGAAAGCTATACAGAAAGATAAATTCAATTCTGTGGAATGGCTACTTGGACATTTTTGGCCTGGAGGATACGAAACTCCAGGTTGGTTAGTATCTCGGTTGATCAGTGATAGGGGTTTGGAAATGCTTCAGTTTTTGCACAGTTTGGATCCGTCAATTTTGAATCGCGCGAAAGAAACAAATCGTAGACCAAGCGATGAACCCGACATCGATTGGTATCGCAAAGATAATGCAGTATACTGGGCTGCGAGATGTGGCAAATTGGAGATACTAACGTGGGCCCAAGCCAATTTCAGACAAGAGGTCTCCACTGATTCCTTGGAAGTTGCTGCACAGCATGGGCATCTGGACGTGCTAAAGTATCTCCATACCAATAATCCCGAAATATGCACCGGAATGGCAATGGTTTTAGCGGCAGAAAATAACCATCTCGACGTCTTGCAATGGTTGCACTCGAATCGATTAAGAGAGAGCAATACGAAAGCAATGCAGCGGGCAGCAGAGCGTGGCCACTTCGATATTGTTAAGTGGTTATATGAGAATTGCCCAGAATCTCAGACGGCGGTGGCAATGGACAAAGCATTGGAAATAGGCCATATCGACATCGTGTATTGGTTGCAGTCACGCTTTCCCGATTATCAAATCGGGAGCAGCAATATAAAAGGCTACCCAGTGATCTGGGCCATCTCGTCAATGTTTTTTGAAGCTATACTCTATCTTCATGTCCACCACAGATACGTGTTTACGCCGAAGTTTCGGAAAAGGCTTCGAGAACATATATTGGTTTGCTCGATTAGCGATTCTGAACATGTATCGAATTGGTTGGACGAGAACTAGCCCACTACGACTAGCTGATGATATCAATACATGTGCTGCTTATTTTTATCGCTGAATCCTTATTAATTATTTCGCTGTATGGGTAAATGCGATAATAGTGGCGCTGTATTCAAAAGTATTTGTGCTTTTATAAACTCAGAATTTAGGTAAGTTCATCTTGCGGGATGCCTCTATAACTGGTTTCAGTATACCCAAATCTGATATAGAATTTATAACTAAAGAATGTTATGTTTTGGCTTCGTTAATCTTTAGCATCAAATCTGTGGCAACAAAAAAAAAAACCAAACAAATTGGTGTAATTCTCTGTCGTAGTCGTAAATATCAATCAAATGGTATCGAGAGAAAAATATCGGGTCACTTCTTGCTCTCTGTCTCGTTGAGATTAAGTGATGCTGAGTGTGAAGTTATCTCTGCATTGTAACGCAGATGTCTTGGCTCTGGAGGAAAATAAACACATAATTTTCCGCTTTCTCGGACCGGCACCTTCTTTGCTAGTTAGCGAGGCGTATCGCTTTGGATCAACTACGTTTCTTGACTGGATTTGGAGCGTGAGCGTGTATTCTGCTGCCTACAGAACAAATACTTGGCCCTCTCACGAATTTCCTTAGCTCCTACCCGCACTACCATTGTTGGCAGTTTATCAGGTCGGCAGGAGTTGCTCCTTCCCGAGACGAGTTGCCCATTGAGAAGTGGTTGTTTGAGCATTTCTCGTGTTGTACATCTCTCTAACAAATTGCAGCAAGGAAATTTACTAGTGCTACAATATCTGTGAAACACAAAAATATGAGTCAAGGTGGTGGCCACATTCAACGGAACCATACGAATTGCACAATATAATAGAATTTTCAAAAAAATAGAAGCAACATTGTGTGGGGGCATAACATTGTGCAAAAAGCCGTCAAGATCGGGCAAATACGTCAGTACCTGGAGATGTGGATAGGATCTCAGATCATCACTACGCATTGGAAATTGGCAACATGGAGCTGGCCCAATTGCTAGTCTCCGGGGGTGATTGTGTGCTTGACTATGCTAAGGGTAGTTCGCATCTCAAGGTTCTCGAGTTCTTGTTGGGTGAATGATATTTAGCACGTGATGTTTAGCTTGCTGCCTCATCGCTCCCAACAGTTGCTACTTAAGGTTCTTGGGAGTTTCTTCAACAGATTGTTTTACTCCATTCTCCTCTACTGGAACACCATGAGATCTGAAAAAACTTGTGGGGTTCTGCAATGGAAAATGTATGTGCTCGTAGAGACCGTTCCATCCTGCAATGGTTCGCAGAGCACTCACTCGGGATTCTAGCCTACGGAATAATTAAGCGAGATTATCCTACGGATTTCGTCTATGCTGCTGCTGAACACGGGTACTGGAGTACCTTTTCCAACTTGGATGGACTTATGGATTCGGATTCGCCACAACGAATGCTATCGAAGAAGGTCAACTGGACTCGCTACGTTGGTTGTTGAGCACTTTTGGGGCGACATTTACGAGTATAAAGCCAAGATCGTTGTTAAGATGATCAAGAACGGATCCTCGAGATCTGAAATTCTTGAAAACTTTAGATTTATCAACGCAGCGTGCTCCTGAAGGAACAGAACGTAGGAGAATATATGGTAGGGATTGCAGTGGCTTCGCGGTGATGATATGGCATATTGCTCAAGTGGGTGTATGCAAATGACAACGTAGCACACTCAACCGTTCATATGAATAGCGCCACGAATAGTGAGCATTTGGAAATGGTACAATGGCTTCATCGTCTAAAGGGGTGCATTTTATTCTCATGTTTTAGATTTACAGATTCAGCTGTAGAAAATTATCACCTTGGCGTCCTGGAATGGCTATATTTGAACTGCTCAGGGGTATGCAGCGCACAAGCAATGGTCTCAGCAGCAGCTCACGGTCATTTTAATGTGGTTACGTAGCTGTATGCTAATCGACCGGAGTCTCGGACGGGACTAGCAATTGACGGCTGTGAAAATTTATTCATGTTCACATCGCAGGTTTGTTACAATCGCGCTTTCCCGAATACAAAATCAACAATAATTACAAGGGGATATCGTTCGCTCTCGCTTCAACGGGTGTGTTTGAAATAGTGCTCTACCTGCATACCATGTATACGTGATTACGCCGTTCTTTTGCAAGCGCTTCAGAGTATTTCTCGAGTTAAAATGATTAAGCCACCTGGAAAATTGGTTGAACGCGAACTATCTAGAACATATAGTAGAGGAATCCTGAGACGAAATTTTACTTAAACTTCTGACGGGGTTGATTGCATAAGAGTAAAACACCTAACGCTGACTCAACATCTCCTGCGCGTCGCCACAATATTTATCACGCCTAGCGAAATTGTGGCAGACTCGCAGCTACAGAAAGACGATCGATAGCTTCCTAGATTGAGGGCGTTACTCGGGGAGCTAACGATTTACATTCAGTTACGATGGATTAGCGCGCATGTTGATTTGACTGAGGTTTTCAGAAGGTAAGGTTAATAGGGCATGGTGGTCAATTTTCGAGGTTGAAGTCGGCATCGGGACAACAGCAATGCTTTCGACCGACCGACGATAGTTTGTTTGATTCTTTTGCATTCAGTACTCTGCTGGCAGTGCCAAGGGCAAGTATTCAATAAAACAAACTTCATTCTCTACTGTAGTCAAGCCGCTTGCTTGCCTCATGCAGCGGGGAAGCAACACCGGAGACTTATTCGTGTGGTCGTATGCTGTCCCCTTCTTCCCACATATCCCACTGTGTTCTCCACCTTAACAGCCCCCAACGTGGAGTCCAACATGATGTTGAACATCACCAGGAGATCGGAGTTGATGCACCACTGAGTCAGTGACTGACAAAGGCTCCTTCGGAATAAAGCGATAGCCGCCTTTTTGATGGGCTACCCCCTGCGTCTGGGTGAGCAGAGTAGAGGCGTCACACACTTAGTCTTCTTCACGCTCCAAATTCCTTCACGAATCTCCAGTATGTCCCCTCGGAGCTACAAAACACCTTTGAGGGGCGCAGATATCTGTTCATCGACTCACGTCGTGCCATAACACCGGGCCGAATGATATTGCAGCGGTGATTCTGCCATATACCATCGCTATATTGCGGGCGCTATTGCCTGTCAATTTGACCCCATTCACAACTGAGGTCGTCAAATTTCTCCGCGCGACGCCTAAGTTCGAAGTGTGAGGCAAGTGCCAACGCTCTCTTTTTCATAAGTAATCCTATTTTCTCGCTGGTTCGCGAGAACTCAATCTTGTTTGAGTGCACCTGCGTCCAGTATCCGATAAAGTCGGGCTGTCCTGGCGCACCAAAAACAATCGACGCTATCTGAACTGCAGCCGAAGTGGCCGGAAGACTCGTCGGCCCTGGCTGTTCACTCTTCAATTCGCACCAAATCGCCGACAGCTCGTTCATCGCAGACATGGCCATCGAAGAAGAGAGCTCTCTTGATCTCACCCCGACCTTCGGGCTCAATGCACTAGCCGCATTAGCCACAGTTCTTGGCGGTTGCGTGATCTTCAGTAACAAACTACTGCAGCTCGCCAGTCCAATGTTCATGGCAGTACTACTCAGTATTTCCGCCGGTATCACTCTCTTCCAGGCACTCGTGGTGCTGTTCGCGAATGCGTATAAGGAGTTCAACGACGCCTTCACCCTTAACGAAAGTGAGCACGATTCGAGTGAAGATGACGACGCTCAGGGCAACGCGTGGCTGGCGGCCACTGGGTGTTTCGGTGGCGGTATCCTCATTAGCTATATCATCGACTTCATCGTACAGAAGCTCACGCCGGGCCAGAACATGAACGGCACAGCCCGGATGCAACCCGAGCGCATGTCCTTTGAAGAAGGCACGTACGAAGTCAAGCCACCCGTGGAGCTAGTCCAGAATCAAGGCAGCGACGTGTTTATCAAGATGGACGAGGCAGCCAAGGAGAAGCTGCAACGCATGGGCATCCTCAGTGCCATCGCTGTGGGAGTTCACAACATCCCGGAGGGCATCGCCACGTTCGTGGCATCCTCTGAGCATGCGTGGATCGGTCTGTCGCTGGCGATCGGTGTGGCTCTGCACAATATCGCGGAGGGCATTGCCGTCGCTACCCCGATCTATTTTGCGACGGGTAGCATTTGTCGCGGTTTGCTCTGGTGTTTCTTGTCGGCCGTCGCACAACACATCGGTGGCCTCATCGCGTTCGTGTCGCTGGGCATGGATGCTGACAATGAGACGCAGGGCGTACTCTACGGCCTGTGTGCTGGTATGCTCTGCGGTATCTGCATGAAGGAGATTGTCCCGACCGCGTACATGTACGCAAACGGCAGGATGCACCTCGTATCTGCTGGCACGCTGGGTGGCATGTTTCTTATGTCCTCTGGGCTTATTTTCTTTAAGTACATTGGCGTGTAAGTGCTCTCGGCTTCTTGAACGAGCCTTTTTAGTAAACTGGTTAGCTTGTGAGTATGAAATGAGATCTGACAGTGTACACTGTTCATTTTTTGGGTTCCAATCATTTTTTTCCCATCTATTTTGCAATGAATCTCAATGTTTGAGCTCAAGCAGACAACACTCGAAGCATGAAAAAGCCCAATGACTCCGTTAGTGATTCTTGCTTGACATCGGATGGACAATACATTCGAGTCAACGGAAGTAAACACTTTGCGCGTTGCAGAGATACGGTCAGACTTCTCCTGCAGAGATATTCTCGAGTGGGATATAGCGTAAAGTAAGCACCAGCTTGTGGTGTGTTACACAGCACCAAATGATGCCAGACATAACGTAAAGCGGATGACACCAAGCATACCATAACGCAACAGTTGTTGACAAGCCAACAATACTCTAAATTTTGCGATAGAGGTACAGGATACTTAGGTACAGTACTTCAATTGCAAGTTTTTATTACACTATCCCCTATCTCACAAGTACGACGAAGATGATGCACTAAACCCACTGCTGACAATACCCTATTACATTACCGTTACCATGCCTTTCATTCTCAAATTTGCTACGGCTGCCACACCCACTCACTCCCCAAGGGCTCCTTGTCGGTTCTCTTAACTTCCCAATTGGTTATGCGTGTTAACTTCGTGTGCGTGGTTGCTGCGAGTTTAATACTTGCCACTAACAATGCAGTCTCGGCTTCCATAAGCCAAACGAAGTTCTCTGCGACGACCAGTATTTTCAAAACGAGTGGCATGAACAAGCGATTTCTAAGAAGCTACGACATGGACGATTTGGACAAGGAGGGCGACGAGGAGAGGATGATTAACCCTTTCAGAAATGCGAAGCCGATCACGCCCCAAAAACTCGACGACCTCCTGGTGAAGGAAAAGATAGAGTTCGATGAAAAAAACATCGAAACGCTCTTCAATCAAGCGAAAGACGGGAAAATCGACGGGTGGCTTGACGATGCAGCACTAAAAATACTGGACCCAACTCAGAAGCAGAACATAGCGCTGATGCGGGAGAATTTCAATCGTTTGAAAGGCATGGGAGTCACTATTCAAAAGGTGGAGAAACTCAAGGCTAACAAACGCTACACAGCCCTCATCTATCGCTACCAGAACATGCTCAACTTGTACATTAGTCACCTACAGGCTGTAGCCCGCAACGCCTCGTAGGCGATACATGTTTTCGGGTTAAGGGTCATAAATACACCCTCACTCTAGCCCAAAGGTGAGCACTCTTTTGTCAACATACCACGAAACCCGTGTGATTCTCTCAGCTCCGGGCTGACAGTCTGGTTGCGCGAGATGGTGTTAAAATACCAAAAACTTTAAGTTCACTTAGCTGTTGCATATTGACAGCAACAGCAAAGTGAACTTAAAGTTTTGCAGGTATTTATATCCAATCAAATCCAAGTAAATTTTAACCTTCCAGCTGTGAATTCAGTTCAATACAAATTTTAACATTCACCCCAGTTTTGTTTAACCTTTTTCCCATTGACAATTTTTTTTAAACATCATTCGTGTTATTCCATCATGAGGATGCGGCCGCCATTGCGCGACCCCCGCCGCCACGTACGTACCATCGCCCGCTCATCTGGAAGCACTGGGCATCGGTGGACGTCGCTGCTAGCTGTGGCCGCTGCCGCGGTGCTGGTTCTTCAATTATGCGCAGCAGAAGTGGCCGCGAAGGACGTCATCACGCCACGTAAGAAAGGTACTATTCTCTTGTTATTATTGTGTTTAAACGTTTTAACGTTCTAAAATAACACAGACAGCAACATGGAGATGACAGTGACCATGACAGGAGCCGGCGATGCTGAGCAGACACGCAAGAAGCCCAGTAAGCGCAATAAAACGCATCAAGAACCCGAAGTTGGTACGTGGAGTAACTAACGTTGAAACGTTTTATCAACTTTAGTTGGCTTTTGGCTTCCTACTAAAAGCCTTTATGCCCGCCCTCTCTGCTCTTAAGTGCTTACGTTTGTGCTTGCGACGGGAACTGCAGAGAGCTTGCTGGCGGACTTTGACCACGATGGACACGTGGGACGCCGCGAGATCCAGCAAATCAAGGACAAACTGCACCATTTACTAGACACAGACGATAGCGGCGGATTGGATCTATCGGAGCTTAAAACTAGAGCCAAAACTGACCAGGACGTGGACGCTGCACTCAAGAAACTCGATCGTGACCACGACGCCGTCATCTCGTGGAAGGAACTGGACGAACGCTGGGAAAGTGTGGGTGCCGAGATGACTGTGGCCGAGGTGGCTGACTGGGTGGCCTATGCAGTGCAGTTACCACAGTACCGTGAAGTGTTTCGAGCCAATTCGATCTCTGGATACACGTTCCCGTTGCTAATGGCCAACGATGGAGCGAGATTGCAAGAGATTGGCGTTCATAGCGAACTACATCGTCATCAATTGGCTATGTTTTTACAGATGAAATATCTTGGTATGGGACGCAAACCGGAAGCTGTTGCATCGAGTGTTTGTACAGCAGAACGCTCGACTTCGCAAGATAAAGTGCTGCTTCAGATCGCTTGGGTACCCGCAGAGAATACGCCCCAACGGTATCAACTGCAACGTCGCAGTCCTGGTGAATCCACGTGGGTGCCGGTGTATACAGGAGCCGACACGGAGTTTTTGGACGTCGTGGAGTCGGATCAGCATGTGGTTTATCGCCTCACGACCTGGAATTCGTATGGACGTAGCCCCCATGTATTCGTGCGTTGTGAAGAAGCATCGTCCGCTTCGTCAAATGCAGAGCTGTCTCCGTCTCTGTTGCCTAGCTCGGGAAAGTCGCGGTCCTCACGCTCGTCTTCCCAGAGAAACAAGCGGAACTTGGAGATTGAAGACACCGAAGAGGACGACTCTGATGACTTTGATCATAGACTCAGTGTATGGGGTCTGCTCAAAATTTACTTCTGGTGGCTGGACGACGCGATCGTTATCCTCTTAGTAGTAATGCTACCCATTCGAGGAATTATCTACGGTGACGCTGACTCGCTACTCCGACTGCTACGTCGATTGCCACCAAATATGCCTACCCGTGTGACGGTGGAAGTCGAGCATAGCAAGACAACCGTGGAGAGCGCTGCAGCTCGTGTGTCGTGGGAGAAACCGGTAGACAACGGGGTTCCTATTGTATGCTACACAGTGCGTTGGACACGCACCAAAACAGAAGAAGTCAAGTGGATAAAGCTGCTCACTGTACCGCTGCCCACTACTGTGATCGTGGACAAACTTCATCATGGAGAGACGTACAAGTTCGTCGTGCAAGCTACAAACCAGTTCGGTCTAGTGACAAATTCCAGTCGATCCACGTACATGGTGCCAGTACCGGAACTCAAGGGCAAGCTGCGCCCTCGACAACTTCCAGCCGAAAAGCGAGCTCTTCGCAATCAATGCCATGTCTGTCATGACCCTCGATACAAGAAGAAGGTGCCGTTCACTGCCACTCTGGACCGCCGTATCCTGCACTACTGCTGCCTTTGTGACCGCGAGTTCTGTCATTATCACAAGGGAGAAGTGTATCATACGAAAGCATTGAGCTGTCCAATTGTGGACGGTCGATGCATCTGCATCACGTGTAAAGAGAGCCGTCTGCATCGTACTGTCACGTACTGAAATAGAGATTTCAGAGATTGAAAAAATATTTCGAGAGCGCATCTGATTGGCTGGGATGGCATTCAGACGAAAAAAACCATTAAAAATTTAATGGCTTTTTTTCGTCTGAATGGCATCCCAGCCAATCAGCATGCGTCACGACGAAGTTTTGGAACTAAGTAGAATGCCAACCAAGCCTATATTATTACGACCCAATATTTGACTTTTTTGAGTTGGTTCCGAATAACCCAAATAAACCATGGCATTCAGACGAAAAAAACCCATTAAAATTTTATTGGTTTTTTTTTCGTCTGAATGCCATCCAACGGCAAGTTCGTTGTCGTTGAGTAATAAAATATGGCTGGAAGCCATACAACCTTCAAAGTCGGGTGGTCAATGCAATACGCCCGACTATACCGTAAAGGACAGAACGGTATGATAGACGACATAATAGATCACCCCACCTCACCCACCCAGTTGATGTATCTGCATAACGGGTGAGTATCGCTGTTTTTATCACTTTGCGAATTTTCGGCAGACAATGGCAGCTTGTGAGCAATTGTCCGACAGTTCCTCGATATTCCAATCGTGCACAGGACTCCCAATGCAAGATTTGCGGATCCAGACCCCGCTTTCGCTCTATTGCGAGTTGAGTCAATAGAGAAGAGCTAGAAGAAGAAGAAGAAGAGTAGTTTGATCTTGTCGTCAAAAGACGAAGTGAGCTTTCATTAGACTTAAGAAGCCACTAGTAGCTGTAAACCAGCCATTGGAGTTACTATAATCAAAACTAGTCATAACGGCTTGAAGAGGGCCTACTAGATTTGATTATAATCTCTTAGAGAGATTTGTTAAAATAACCATAATGTTTAGAGGCCACTTCAGCACGCTCTATCCGGTGTATACCTCTTTGAGCTATCACCTGTGACGACCACCGTAATCTACACCCCAGTTCTACGTTCGCCTATTTTGCAATTCCCACTGAGCGTATGGAGAATTTCCGTGATCATGTCGTTGGAAAAGCTGGATTTATAAGTGTTTCGATTTTCGAGCGTGCAGATTTTCATCAGAACGCATTATAGGCAAAAACTACCCTCTTGACCAGTTCAATTTGGTGTTACAGTATTGCATTACTGGTTGGTTTCCAGACATGAACTTCCTGCACAGCGTGGAGAATGCTCTGCGCAATAGGCTTCGGTCATTTCGAATGCGGTATGATGCACGTGGTATGACGCGCAACCCAGGCACGGGATCTCGTGAAAGTAAGTCTTTTGAGTACATTACATTCACAATTAACTCTCAAAATTTGCATCACATCTTCGATAATATGGCAGCGTGCGCAAATCGAGGGCGACAACTGGCGAGGCAGTTGGTATAAGATCAAGATGCACGTCGTCGACGCGTAGTACGTGATCAGATGCGTGGATGTCGGCGCAGACAGCGTAGAGAGAAAGAGCGCCTTCGTAGTTCTCACCGAGCTGCCATGAGAACCCTGGTGCATCGCCTAACAAATGCAAATGCTTCTATTGAGGATATTGATAACTAGGTACAGCACCTTGAAGCTGCTCAAGCGTTAAGAACCCAGCATCTCCGCCGTCGTCATGAAATGGAAAGGCAAGAATTTAGAGACTATCTGGGTGAAGTAGTTCCTCGAACAGATCCTGAGATAATTTACACAACCGCGGTTCGAGCTGCATTGGTGACGGCGGAGGTTTCACTTTAAAACTTGCAACTACAAATGTCAGGTGCCTAGGCTTAGCGGAGGACATATTGGGATAGCTTTATTATAATATTCTTAAAATTCCTGTTTAAAAAATGCGGAGTCTGTGGACTGATTTGACCAGTACCACTATTTTGGCACAGTGGTCGCTTCAACTAACAATGGAGGAGAAGAACACTATTAAATGTTATTAACGTCCTTGGAAATCAATTGCCGCTATTGATTTCACTTAGGAACGCGCTTGGGTGTCAGCTTGGTGGCGTGGGCTGATGTTGCCATGCAAAGGCACAACTCGTTTTTTAAACAAATTAATTTTGCAACCTGCTATCGCGTCTGAGTCGGAGTATGAAGCCCGGAACAACGCGCATCACAGGCGTGGGGGTGAAAAACAATCGTCCTGGTTCCTATGTAGCATTATCAGGCTCCTTCCCGCTACTACTGTTGCTGTCGCTATTGCTGCTGCTCTCGTAGGGGATATGCAGTAATGTGACCAGTTTTGAGATTGCACTTCGTCGTCTGCCTGACTTGGACCTTGCTACAAGACGCACGTCGTGCGCGTGCTGCGCGTGCCAGGCATGTGGCTTAGGTGGTCAAGTACTGAAGGTACACGAATGCTGCAATCTGATTGGCAAATCATTCGATATCCTGAACTGTGATTGGACAAGAAGTTGAAGCTGGATGGTGAAAACGTTCCCGTTACAATCAGCGTTCCCGTTACAAATCGCGTTCCCGTTACAAATTGACAGGACATGTATGATTTGCATACTTTTTCAAGTGCTCTGTTGTGAAGGTAGGAAGAGCAATGCGTGTGTAGGAGAGAAGGAGTTGCTAACTCCGAACAAACTAAATCAATCTCACTTTCGGATTTACATTCCAACACTCACTTCACTACCAAGCTTCATTCGCTATTCTCAATTGGTTATGAGCCCAAGCTACGCCGACAACATCGACAAGCTCGTGGAGGACAACTACTTCTACTGGGAGTTTAACATGCGGATGAAGCTCGCTCGCAAGGGTCTGCTCCCGGAGATCATCAAGCCTGAGTTTGACCATGTGAGTGATCGCTCCACGGCGGAATGGAAGACCAACGATCTGAAGGCACTTGGTGTTATCGCTGGAGACGTGAGTCTCACGTACCAAGTCTACGCCCGTGGAGCACTAACTGCCGCTGAAGCGTAGACAATGCTCGAGGAGCATTTCAACAAGAAGACGCTCAAGAACCGGCTTCCCGTCACCAAGAAGTTGAACAACTTCAAGATGGAGCCCGGTACCAAGTTCGCTTCCCACGTCGATCGTTCAAGGAGATCGTTCTCCAGATGGAGACGATCGGTGAGACTCTGGACGAGACTCGCCAGCTCGTGTTGCTCCTTGGCAGTTTGACGGACGAGTACAAGAAGATCAGTACTGTCCTAGAAAACACGCCCAACGTGACGTTGGCCTACGCGATCCAAGCACTCTCTGGTGTTCAAGCCTCGGATGAATCGTCATCGGCTGAAGAGAAGGCGTTCGCGACGAAGAAGAAGAAGGACTTCAACGGCAAGCGTCATTTTAATGGCAAGTGCTTCTACTGCAAGAAGCAAGGGCACCGAGAGTTCGAGTGCCGTAAGAAGAAAGCCGACGAGGAACGAGGACAAGCAGCGCAAGAGGGAGCGTCTGACTTCTCGTTCATGGCAACGGGTGCGATGACCAAGAGTGAATGGCTCGTCGACTCAGGTGCAAGTTCGCACATGACCAGCGTCCGGGACAAGTTCGTGTCCATGCAGAAGCTGAAGACGCCAGTCCGTATCACGATCGCGGATGGCACGAAGATCGACGCAGTTGCGAAGGGCACCGTCGGTATGAAGCTGATGGATGGGACGTCTGTCACGCTGTCGGATGTACTGTACATCCCTGAAGTTGAAGGAAGCCTCATCTCGGTGTCGAAGCTGGCCGAGAAGGACGTCACTGCGCAGTTCAGCAAGCACAAGTGTGTCTTTAGCTTTGGTGGTGCTACCGGCATGAAGGCCGAGCGCTGTGGAAACATCTACAAGTTGAAGACAGTGGAGACGACCTCTCGTAAGGAGCCATGGGCTGTTGTACACGCCCGACTCGGCTACATTCCGTACAAGCGCTACGAGAAACTACTGACCATGGCAGAAGGAGTGCCTCGCATCATGGGAGAAGTCTACGGGGAAGATGTGTGCGCAGGCTGCTGCATGGGCAAGATGAAAGCTGACGACTACCCGAGACATCCGGAGAAGCTCGTCAAGAGTGCTGGTGTACTTGACCTGGTGCATACGGACGTAATGGGTCCGAAGCAAACCAAGACACCGGGTGGCAGTACGTACGTCGTCACATTCATTGACGACTACTCACGCCACGTTACGGTCTACTTCATGAAGGCCAAATCGGAAGTACTGTCGAAGTTCAAGAAGTACAAGGCCGGAATTGAGAACAACAGGCAAGACGATCAAGCGACTGCGCTCGGACAATGGCGGTGAATACACGGGCCGGGAGTTCAAGGCCTACCTCAACCGCAGCGGCATCAAACACGAGAAGACGGTGCCGTACACACCTCAGCAGAATGGACTGGCTGAGCGAATGAACCGGAGCATCGTGGAGATGGCTCGCTGCATGCTCTATCATGAGAGTGTTGACAGGAAATGGTGGGCTGAAGCAGTTAATACTGCGGCCTGGATCATCAATCGGATCCCCAACTTGGTCAATGTGAAGACGACCTACGAGATTGTAAGTCATTCCAAGCCACAACTCAAGAACGTCAAGGTGTTCGGTTCACTGGGATACGCTCACACCCCCAACGAGAAGCGTCGCAAGCTGGATGCAAAGGCATTCAAATGTCGGTTCCTGGGATACGAGGATGGAGTCAATGGGTATCGCGTACTGGATTTGTCAACTGGGAAGGTGCAAATCGTACGCACTGTGAAGTTCATCGAGACGGCCGACCCTACCCGTATCATGACTCATGTTGATGCCGACGAGGACACAGACGCATTAGCACCAACCATGGAGCAATTGTCGTTGAGTGAGTCCACGCAAGTCGTCCCCACCCCCGTTGAAGTTGCTGACGTGATCCCACTTCAACGTGACGAAAGCTTGGATACTGCGTTGGTGCCATATGATTTGACACATCCTATGATTACTCGTTCGCGTGTTCGACACATTGACGAGACAGCGGATCCTGAAGAGGCAATCACAAGAAAGAAGCAAGTCATCGATGCTCCATCGTCGACTGGGACAAAGCGTCAGAAGATGACTCAAGAGCGACCGAGACCAAGTGGTAACATTGTTGAAAGTGGATAGCTGATGGCTGCCACAGAGGAGGTCCCGAAGACGTACGCAGAGGCGACTACAAGTGCGGACCAAGACAACTGGAAGAAAGCGATTGCTGGTGAACTCAAGTCGCTAACAGACAACCTGGAAGTTGGTGCGAAGGTCAACGCACCAGCGCCCGATTGGCTGCCGCTGGGTGTTCGCGTTGAAGCGCAACGAGAAGGGACAAGTGATTCGACACAAGGCTCGTCTCGTAGCCAAGGGGTATTCACAACGACAGGGCATTGACTATGAAGAGACGTACGCGCCCGTGGCTTACCTGAATTCGATCCGAGCAGTACTGGCCAAGTGTTGTGCTGAAGGATTCGAGATCGAGCAGTGCGACGTGGATACAGCGTTCCTGTATGGCAAACTCGAAGAAGAGATCTACATGGAGTTGCCAGAAGGTCTTCGGGAGCTACTGGCACTGACAGAGACTCTAGTTGAAGATGACGTCGTCTGCATACTACTGCAAAGTCTGTACGGACTCAAGCAGGCGTCTCGTGTTTGGAACGAGATGATCGACAACCATCTCAAGAGCATGGGGTTTAAGGCTGCTGACGCTGACCCGTGCATCTACACAAGAGGTGAAGGAGAGGACGAGTGTAACGTGTGTCTTTACGTGGATGACATGCTGATTGCATCACGGGACAAGACCATCATCGCGTCGGTGAAGACTGGTATTGCTGAGAAGTTCCGGATCAAGGACCTCGGACGAGCACGCTTCATTCTTGGCATCGAGATCGACTACGACATGGAGAGCAGAACGTTGGGCATCTGCCAGCGAGCCTACACTGAGTCGATCATCAAGAAGTTTGGTCAAGAAAACGCGAAGCCAATCCTGATGCCACTGGACCCAAGCCTGCACCTTACCAAGGCTGACGAGCCACAGACCGAAGGCGACAAGGCCAAGATGAAGTTGAAGCCTTACCGGTCGCTCGTCGGAAGCCTCATGTACCTGGCGTGCGGAACGCGACCTGACATCTCGGTTGCCATGGCCAAGTTGAGTCGCTTCCTGGAAAAACCTGGTGAGAAGCACTGGGATGCTGGAATCAAGGTGGTTCGCTATCTGTTGAAGACCAAGGATGTGGGCATCGTGTATGACGGTTCGCAAGGAACAGAGCTCGCCGCCTACTCGGATGCAGATTGGGCTGGCAACCGCGACGATAGACGTTCGGTTAGCGGGACCATGCTCATACTGTGTGGCGCACCTGTGGTTTGGCGTTCTACGTTTCAGAAGACTGTCGCTCTAAGCTCGACTGAGGCCGAGTACATGGCTCTCAGTGACTGCATCAAGGAAGTGTTGTGGATGCGGCTACTACTCAAGGACATTGGTGAAGAGCAAGTGGGGGCTACGACGATCTACGAGGACAACCAAGGCGCCATGTCGTTGGCGAAGAACGTGGGTTATCAAGCTCGAACCAAGTACATCGACATTCGCTACCACTTCATTCGTGAGAAGGTTGTGAGCGGCGAAGTCGAGCTGGAATACAAGGAAACCAAGAACCAGCTCGCAGACTTCATGACCAAAGGCCTCTCGTCAAAGACGCTGCGCTACTTGATGATGCGGAGCAACATCGGTCCCAAGCTCTAGACGTCGAATTGAGTGGGGGTGTTGAGATTGCACTTCGTCGTCTGCCTGACTTGGACCTTGCTACAAGACGCACGTCGTGCGCGTGCTGCGCGTGCCAGGCATGTGGCTTAGGTGGTCAAGTACTGAAGGTACACGAATGCTGCAATCTGATTGGCAAATCATTCGATATCCTGAACTGTGATTGGACAAGAAGTTGAAGCTGGATGGTGAAAACGTTCCCGTTACAATCAGCGTTCCCGTTACAAATCGCGTTCCCGTTACAAATTGACAGGACATGTATGATTTGCATACTTTTTCAAGTGCTCTGTTGTGAAGGTAGGAAGAGCAATGCGTGTGTAGGAGAGAAGGAGTTGCTAACTCCGAACAAACTAAATCAATCTCACTTTCGGATTTACATTCCAACACTCACTTCACTACCAAGATTCATTCGCTATTCTCAATTACCAGGAGGTCCCTGTAGTTGGCGTCCATGTCAGTGCGGATCCGCTCCTCGAGTGAGCGTCCATACAGCTTCTCATACAGCTGCTCAACCTGAGGCTGCATCCAGTGGTATCGGATTACACGTTCGGCTGCTTGGAGAAATGAAGATCACTTCAAAAATGACATACATCTAAAGATATCGAAGTAAGAGTTTGAATATCGTGGCAATTTACAGTGGTCACATGATGAGCGAAGTTTTAGGTGGTAACAAAACTAGATGATGGTATGGTCGAAATGGGTCCCAAACTTACCCAAATCTGCCGTAAGCTCGAGTATCCATGGGAGCTCACTAAAGACTCCATGCATAGCGTTGTCTTCTCCCAGTCTGAAGAGATGAGTGCCCAATTCTGTCTGACTGAGCTCGTCCACCTGCTTGAAAGCTGCAATTGTGACTTCTGGCAGCGCTTGGCCTCCAACATCGCCCCAAATTTCACGACCAGGAGCTGACGAAATGTCGATTGTCTTGAGCAGGGCAACGTTACTTGATCGATCCACGTACATTGTCTGTCAAGGGCCCAGAACGTTGGGATTCCTGGGTTAAAGCCGACAGAAAATAGTATCTCCTCCCAGTTGAAATCATTTACGTCAGCCACGACGATCTCGTGCTGTTCAGGTTTCAATGGCGCGTTTATAACGTCTAGAACATTCACTTTGTGCTCGAAGAGTGCGAAATTCGGAAGAAACCAAATAGGGCCACCGGTGGGTCTGGTCTCTTTTAAGCCCGTGCCCAAAAAATGGGACAGATATTAAAAATACCCAAATTGAGGACAGAAAAAACTAACGAAATAAATAAAAGTGGAGCATTGTAGAGAGAAAACTAGATCGTCTGCGACTTACACTGGGAATACATGTTCTTAGAACTTTTAATCACAAACTAAGTACGATATTTTGGATGTTGTCCGAACGTTGACCCATTTACGTTACGCTCACGCAATTAATCCTGTTTGGGCTGGCCATTACTCATTCTGAGGTATTCCCAGTATAATACAGTTTACAAGTGTATTATACAATATGCTATACCGCCTCATTTCCATAATAACCACTTCAAGCTGCGGCAGCTGATCTTGTTACTCTACGACCACGTTGGGTAGATCTCGTCCCTGTTGTACGCTGTTTTGCGCCCTTGGCGCCTTCCTCGACGTGCTTGACCCTGCTGCTGGTGCTGTGCCCTGCCCTGTTGTCGCCGTTGTAATCCTTGGCGGGTTAGTTGAACTGGTACAGGGAGCACAACAGCTCCCTGTTGCAGTGCCTCAGCTCTTCGGTTGGTGATGTCATTTAGTAGTCGTACGTAGCGCCATCAATGGTACTTACAAAAGCGGGTTGACTTGTGTGTGCAAACGAAATTGCACCATTTAACTCGCGTTAAATCTCTCAAGCGGATTGTTAGTTCTGCTAACAATGTCCAAGTCCATCTCATGGACGTTCCACACATCAACAGGAACAGGACGAGCCATGTTCGTCTGAAGTACGCCCAGAAACGGGTCCACCGTCCAGTCGAGTACTGCAGCACTTCTTTGCGGCATCGGCGGCGGACTTGCCTTTCAACGTATCTTAGTCCTGCTGGGTCAACGTCTGCGGGTGGTATCACCGTGAGCATATCGAGAATGCCAAACTTCCATGGCGATAACTTATTTCTTGACGCTTGTAGTGCAGGGCCATCATGCGTCGCCGTATAGCCTGTCTCCAATGGAATAGGCATCCAATGACTCGGGCAGTAGGAAATTGCCCCCCCCCCCCACAACCCCCCCCCCCTCTATGGAGTCGATAAGCGCTTGCTCAAAGTCGGCAACCACTTGAGCTGGTTGTAATTGTTGTCCAATGACATTTACGATGAACCCAAACATTCTTGTGTATGTTGACATTGTTCGACTGGTCGTGAGTGTGCATACCACTGGAACAAACACACGACTGACCGCATCACGCACCATTAATACAACACACTGGTGAAATGATCAAGCCACAGACCGAAATGTTCCTTCGACAAAAAGTCGAGAGCCCGGATAACGAAGGGGCTCTAGTAGACGTGAATGCGCCCAGCCGACGACACGATGAAGTTGTCTGTTGTCGTAGTAGATGTGATGATACTGGAAAAAGTGAGGGTCCAACCCTGCGATTAGAACAAGTGGTGGAGCTTCAATAACACCGTGAATGTCACCACCAAAATGGGTTCGCCGGGTTCTTTGGACACGTCCACTTGCATTCGAGTAAGCCCTTGAGTAACTACGTCGTCGCTACGTTGAAAGAACCTCTGTCAAACTTGCTCCCATATCTGTTGTGCAGTCAACGCTTGATTCGTAGTCGCCAATTGATCAGTCATTTCCCCCATTTCACGTGTCACATCCACGATTGTAGATTGCGCGACCACCGAAATTCGACGTAGCTAGCCAATCGGATGTCAAAATGCACCTTGCCCTTGCACCCCGTCCGACGAAAGAAGCTACAGTGATAAGAGATGCGTCGGAAGGACTGTCGAGATCGTGTGTACTAAGGTTAATTACGGTTGAGTATCGCTGGTCCTGATGCACACGCACATCGCGGTCGCCTCCATTATCTCTGAGTGGTCGTGTATCGTCTTCTGAACCTCGAAGCGCCTGATCCATATCACGTATCCCCTCAATTGCATCAACCCCATCGTCTACATCACCGATGTATTCTCCTTCTTCTTCGTAGTCATTGACGGACCCAGCGTTATCTTCATCAGGATCTTCATCGTGCCCTTCTTCAACATTAGCGTCTTCAACGTCAGCACCTTCGTCATCGAATTGTAAACGAATTTGTATAGACGGCCCAGCTTCGGTTAGAGCGCCCTGTCCATCGTTTGTCGTTTGACTACTGGCTCGGGGTCTCTCAATCATTATCCAAGCCTCCTTGCGGGAGTGTCTTCATTTAAACGTTGAGGGTCTCCTGGCCTGGTTAAAGGAGGTGAAGCCTCATTTAGGACCATATACTGGTCAGACGGCTGCCCATTATCATCGTGTTGGTCATCATCGCCGTACGAGTCGTATCCAAAGTCCCAATACTGGGACTCCGACTCGTGCAGGTAGCTGGCTTCAGGTGATGTTCCGTCGCTCATGATGTTGACGGGAAGGTGGGAGTCGGTCGAGGAAGACGTGGCTCGCACAAGAGTTGGTAGGAGGGCGCAAATTGCGAAGTGATCCTAAATACGGCTTGGCTAAGCTAACAATTGCACAGTCCGGACAAGATCGCATTTGGTACAATCGATGGGAAGCAAAGATGCGTACAGAATTAATCACACCCCTTATCTTCGTGCGATATTAATGAATCTGGATTTGTAACACCCGCGTTGGCTTCATGAGACTATGCCTTTCAATCTTTCGCCACAGTTGTAGTGACCCTCCGTGAACCAAGGTGGGTAATGCTTAATTATCATAGCAAGCATAGCATACAGACAACTACAGATAGCCAGCCTTATAGCGCACACAGCCGAAGCTTCACGAATCACTCACACTGCAATGGAATATGTCTACAAGACACAAACGGCCAACCGGTGATTCGAAAAAAAGTCTACCCGAAATTCTGGTCCACCTCGAAGACTTGACAGTTCTGGAGAGACTCTAATTGATACGCTCTCGTGTCCAGGCCAGCTCGAAAGAGCACAATTTTATGAGCATTAGGGCTTCGTTGAGTAATAGCGTCGTCTAGATAGCGTGCTCGAATGGAGAAGTAGTTTTCTGGCTGCTGGAGGCTCTCGGTCCACTTTTCATTCGAGGGCCGAGCTGTGGCGCGATTTGGCGCGTGAGGGGCTCTGCAAATGGGTCGCTCACGATCCGATCTCATCGTTTGTGCTCAATGAAGCGCATGAGACGCCAGCAAAGCTCATGAATTGCACAAAGTCCTCGTTGTCGGCGTTGTCCGCCATCTCTTCACGTTCTAGATCGATTTGATCTTTGAAGGTGGCGCCAAAAAAAAAGAGTTGAGTCGAGATCTTAGCCGCTAAGGTAGCGATCTTGCGTGACGATGGCGCGAAGGTGATCACACCACTCTCCGGGCTCACTTGAAGATCGTAAGTGTCAAATAGTGGCCATGTTGATGAAGCAGAGGTCAGCAAACAACGTCAAGGTGGTGTTATCATCGTCAAAGGCAGTGTATTCAAAACCTGCTTGTCTTTCTCCGATCAATTTGTAACCTAGCGAGTTGTGCCCTGAACGAACTTCGTGTAGAGGCTGAACATCGTTCCGTAGTGGTGGGAGAGGGCATCGCGATTGGGACCAGATAGCAACGCTCTCACTTTTCTCTGGGGTTATCCCGCTATTTTTCAGTTGATTGAAAGTCTCCTGCAAGTGAACTCGATCTTTCAGGGTCAGCTTTTCGAGTGTGACTTTATCGAGCCAACCGTCAATTTTTCCGTCTTTTGCGTGCTTGAATAGCTTGTCAATGTTGCTTCGGTCAGTCTGCACATTATGCGCCGCATAGATGACATCTATATCTCTGGAAGTGAGTCTTTTGGCCTGACTGAGCGCTCCAGGGCCGACATTGATCCTCTCCTCGTTGTTCTCCTCCAAAACGTCCATATTGTAGCTTCGTAGCAATCGCTTGTTCATGGCTTCCGCTTTGGTGGAATCGATCTTCGTCGAAAGTCTCATTTGGTCCTCAGTTGCCTGTACAGTATCGCTGGTGGCTACGAGGATGCTCGCAAGCACTATACAAAAGTAGCTAACACGCATCACCGACTTTATTAAAGCTCGGGAAATGTGTAAGGGTGGGTTGGAGTTATGGCTGTCGTTGAGAGAGTTGGATAATGAACCAAGGTACTGACCAAGCATTCGTGTCCCCAGCATAACGATGAAAAACAGGGTTGGTTCATAATCATTCGAAGCGTGGAAAACATGTTGAAATCGTGGTCGGTCGGTCAACAACATAAAATTGAGCAAGCTTACGCGCTAACCGTTCATGCCGTTGAAAGCTGCGCCGGCTTCTTCGCCCTTATTGCAACCATTTCATCCAATTGTTGTAATAGTCTGTAATAGTTAGACCTCATATTGCTCTTCGTGTGGCCCCTCGTATCAACAAAATTGATATACATTTCGGGCTCTTTGCACGTTCCAGACGATCTATCACGATGGCTTTATCCCCCTATTTTAGCGACCTATTGTGGCTTGCGAAGTTGCATTGGCGAGATTCAAGCAAGGCCAAACTATTATGCTTACTGTTTCATATAGTTTGACCCCAATAATTTTACTGTCAAGTTTTTTGTTGTTGTCAATGCAGCAGAGTATCGAATGTGATGCAGCTCGGAACTCAAAAACGACAAGTATGCGTTCTTAGCTCTGTGGAGTGGAGAGATCGAGACGGTCAATGTGACCTCTGAATCGCTGGACATGGGTGACAAGCGATCGATAGCGTATTTATTGCATTATGTCTTCCTCCTATTACTTTGCTTTGAGGAAGCTAACGTACATCTTGTAGTGGTAGGCGTGTGCTGTATGGCAAGCAGCTTGCGGCATTTTCTCCTCAGTTATCCCATCGTTTTTCAGACGACTGACTATACGTCAGCAGCAGTGTTTTGGGTCCTTCATTGTCTTGCCCAGACCTTTGGTATGGTCAATTCTGCTCTCTACTGTAGCGTAAACATTTGACATGCATTTAGTGTCGCTTGTAGGTTGCGCGAATGTATCACATTCGATCGTGGTCAGTGGCTGGCTATCGCTTTGGAGGCTTCTTTGGCAATAAACCTCCGGGGAAGAGGAAAAACCTTCGTGTCTTGCTTGACCGACCCACTTCAACTTGCCTTTTCAGTATGAGCTCACCGCCAACACTAGGCAACATGTTGCCACTAGGACCCGACGCGTCCACACCTCCACCTGCCACGAAGAAGAAGAAACCTGGCCGCACTCCGAGTCTCATCTGGCAGCTTCTGACTGACGAGCCGGACCCGCAACGTCGGAACTCGACAACCTGCAAGCACTGCAAGCAGACGGTGGCCTACTACAAGAAATCGGAGCAAGCCATTCGCCACCTCAAAAAATGTGTGCGATTCCAGGAGATGCAGCACCAATTCGCCTTCATGAACCAATTCTCGGACGTTTTGCCGCTCTATAATCAAAAGCTTAGTGCCAAAGTTCCCGCTTCAAAGCGAGCCAAGACGGATCAGACCCAGGCGCAACGAGCTCAGATGGAGGCGCTGCAAATACAAGCCTCTGGAGCCCTGAGTAGCGCGCTGGACCAAGCAGCGGCACATCATGCACAAGTTATGAACCAAATCGCCATGCAACAGAGTATTCCCGAGAGTTTGATGGACCCTACAACGATGACTATGACGCTGAAAGATGATGCTAAGGAGAAAGGATCGAAGGAACGGAAAAACAAGAACGGACCACTGTCAAAGACTCAGAACGATCGATTTGAAGAGGAATTGGCCATGCACGTGTACGTCACGGGGATGGCGTTTGACGCGTTGGAGGAGTCCCACTTAGCCAGAGCCATGACAATTTTACGACCCAATTTGAAGCTCCCAGACAAGAAGATATTGGAGAACGACCTGATGATCCGATGCTTTGAGAAAATGCACAAACAAGTGTGGGGGTATCTATCCACAAGTCCAGCACGGGTGTGTCTGAAGAGAGACGCGTGGTCGAATCTGAACTTGTACCATACGAACAACCCAGAAGAAACGTATGTGACGTATATGGCTGTGAATAACGAGAAGAGGTTCTTCTTGGAGTCGGAAAAGGCAGCGGGGGATGAATCTCAGTACAACTCCATCATGATTGCTCAAGATCTGAAGCGCATGATGCAGCCCATTGTCAGTAATGTGAGTGGAGTGGTCACTGGAAGCACAGAGTATCACTCGCGAGCGTGGGATATGCTCAAGGCAGAGTATCCGACCAAATTCTTTTACGGTTGTATCTGCCACGCACTCCACTTGGCTATTATGGACATCTTTGGTCCAGAGAAGTCATTGGATAATGATCCTAGACGACTGACGCCGCAAGTCCCAATGGATTTCCCGTTCCAAGATCTCGTGGAGCTTACGAACAACTGTAATGAATTGTTGTCGTTCTGCAGTAGTTACCAGTACGCGCCGAAGTTTAAGATGTTCGACTCGCAGCTGCTTCATACGATGAAGGGCTTTGCGAACGCGTCGCCCACGATGGCGTGGGGCACACTAGCTGCTCGATTCCGCGTGTTAATGCAGTCGGAAGACGTCCTGCAGTCCATTGTGAGTGATCCCGACTTTCTGAACGAATCACCGGCGAACCAACGTGCAGTACGGACGAGTATCAAGGAGTTTGTATTGAATCTGAACTGGAAATTGACGTTGGAGAAGGCTATCACGATCCTTACGCCCATCGAGCTGATTCTATACAAGTTCCAGGATGACCGAGCTCCGATTTCTGAAGTTTACTTTGAGTCCAAGCACTTACTTACGGACTTTGACGCAGTTTTTGGTCTTAGTACAGTCGAGTTGGAATACATCAAAAAGGTGGTCACAGAGCGCTGGCAATATGTGCTAAGTGAGGCCCATGGCTTGGCCTTTTTGCTAGATCCACGATACATCGGCAAGTCCATGACTAGAGACTATCGCGAGCAGATCGAGGAGCTAATATTTAACTTCCCCGAGACGGACCAGGACATGGGAGTTAATGAAGAGCGGAGACGAGCGATGACGGAAGAATATACCGACTACGTTATGTACGCTAAGAACCAGCGCAACAACCGCACGTACAAGTGGGAGATGCTGGAAAAAGGGCAACCGCTCACCGCTGCAGTTCTGGCAATCAGAAGCAGATGATTGGCCGCATCTCAAGTCGTTGGCGTTGACTCTGTTTTCGTTGGCTCCTAGTAGTGTGGCGTCGGAGAAAACACTATGCAAGAGCACGCTGACGCAGTCCAGTCGCCGCAACAAGCTCAGCTTCGATGATATGAGACGTCTAGCGTTCATTTGCATCAACGACTCGCAGTTCACGGGTAATCGAGTGACTGGTGAAGTGCAGAGTAACGCGTTGCCGGATTTCACTATGGGGGATACAGCGCTCTCGCCCGATGGAATGATGATGTGGATGATCTGAATTGAGAGCAGTAGTGTCTAATTTGCTACAAGCTGGATGCTTACAGCAAGTTTTTGAGGTGTTCATGTCCGATCGTAACATCATTACTGGTACTCCTAAAAATACTACTTCACTCGCTATAATAGTACTTTGAAATACTATTTCCTGGTAATTTACGAGATTGGCGATGTTTCGTAAATTACCAAAAAAAAGTCGGAGTAAATTGTGTAACGTACATGAATCAAACAAGCTTATCAGAAAAATCGGCTAAATGGAGTCGGAGCTGGAGGAGACACTAGCTTTGCTGGACGAGGTACCAGCAGCTTCAAACGAGCTACAACTGCGCGACTTCCCTTCGTCCATTGCTGACTGGACACCGGACTTACATTGGGGGATACTGGACGACGATAATGGAGACTGTAGTGGTGCAGATGCGCCTGCCATCACTTGTTCTGAAAGAGCAGTTGTCGATCCATCGGACAGGAAGGCGAGGAAGAAAACTAATCCGAACAAAGCTCGTGATGGACGTCGCATTCAGCTGGTAGAGCTGAAGGGCCAAGTGGCAGAGCTGGAGTTCACTCTTAAGCGGCTACAAACTATCCGAAGCCAGCGACTCAGCAGGTTTGAGCCTCCGAATCACGTTAGCGGAGTTCCCCGTGTGTGGCAGGAGATATGCTCTCGGCAACTTAACAGAAGGTTGGAGGCGGAGCGTGAGAATATGAAGCTGAAACAGCGGTACGAGAAGGAGAAACAACTTGCCGAGAGCTTAGAAAAGATGCTCTTCAAACGACGTGCCACGTGGTACGACACAGAGCCTCAAGCGACGAAGCAAACGCGACGAACAGATATCCCTGCTGGGTACATTGAGCGCATGGCGGCGATAATTTTCAAGGAACTCGCAGCCGGGATCAAGATGTGTTATGGCAGGTTGGAGAGCGTGTTCAAGACCACAGACGCCGTTCCTGTGGAATTGGTACGACACAGTGGTTTACTCGATGGAGCAAATAAAGTCAAGGGTACAGAACGGAAGTTTTACGACAGCAGAACAATGCCTTTTGACATGCGCACGACGGGAGATGCTTGGTGGGAGAACTGGCACAACTACAGAGGCCAGCGCTTCCAAGACATCGCAGCGAACGAGGTAACCGAGAGCTTTGGCCTCGAGATGAGCGACTTGAAGATCAATGTGACGGGAACAGCGTATGCTCAGCAGATATCCCAGCGACATATTGAAGATACGCGTATTGTCTTCTTGTGGGATGCATACGTGGAACCGTTTGGCTTTGCCAATGAACCTGTTGGTGGGGTTTATTTTCTAGAGCAGAATTATGTTTTGGTTGAGCCTGAAGAATGGAGTTCTGAACGGGGTCATGACAGTAGCGACGGCTATGCAACGCGAGTGTCAACTTGCTTTGTGCTCACACCTTATTTTCTGGATCCGAAGCTCAAAGACGACGCCAAGACGACGGCAGTGATTAACTTTTTAGTGAGTGCGATGGTCACTAACGCCATGGCTTTGAGCGGGATGGTGGAGACTCTGCTTTTAGACCAAGTACTGCTGCAATACAGCGATACATAAAACGTGAAAGGAAATGTTTGATTCCCTGTGTCTCCACAACGAGCGAACGCGTTAGTTACGACTGGTGATCGTATTTTACCTTCTCGAGCCGTGTATTCATGCAGTCTGAAGGGAACACAGCGTTGTAGCTAGATGGAATAATGATGCGGTTGATCTGAATTGAGAGTGGCTGTGTCTAGTTGCTACAACAAGCTGGACGCTCAAGGAAATTAGTTTAATGTTGAGCTTTTAGATGTACAAGTCCGGTGTGCTGAATCTGAGTGTCCTCATTTTTCTTTTGATTTATCCTATTGCTGCAAGACGAACTGTAATGTGAAATCAACCCAGATCATATTATGATGACCGTGGGGCCGTAAAGGAATAAAAAGTAAACCTTGATATCAATGTCAGGAACGACGACCAAAACAACACTTCTCGCGTTGAGTAACTCAAATTCGTTTTGATATTTCCACCGAGTCGTAGTGGTGCATCGCATCGGTGGTGCCGCTGGGCTCGAGTATTGCAGTAGCGTATGACTTGCTCGTCATAGCACAGTGCTCACCCCGAGAGATGAGCTTTGATGTAACTTACAAGATTGTGGGAAGAGATGTGCCATCTCGGTTATGATATCTGAAGTAGCCATGGAGAACGAATGGCTCCATGCCCCTCGAGCGGTGGGTTTAGTTTCAGTTCGCAAATTACCACGTCGAAAACAAGTGCTTTCAAGTTCCGTGATGCTGTCATCTACGTCAAGTAAAATCGCTGCTCGCTACGAATGCGACGGGAAGGAGGTACCCAGAGTCTTATGGAGAGTGCGTTACACTGGCCAGTCGTTGAAAGCTCGTGCCAAGCCAACGTTCAAGAGCAAGCAGCAATTCAAGCGAGCTGTTGAGCTGCATCTCAACTGGTCCAACCGTATTCCGACTCCATTCGTGGCGTTATTTGGTACGCGTGAACATGCAGTCAAATGGGCCAAAAGCCACTTCGAACTCGGATACGACGACGTGTTTCTATTGAAAATCGATGCGTCAAAGCTGGGGCCGATATTCCGAGTGCGGTACCTGCTGCAGGACTCTGATATCCACAACGACGAGTTCTTGGTGCTACGTAAGATTACTCGACGGAGTATTATCCGAGAGACCTACTTATCCTGCATTGAGGACGACTCGAGCGAGGACAGTGTTGGACGTAGTAGCGAAGAAGCTAGTGAGGAGGAAGATGTGTTTGCAGGTTAGATTTAAAGGGTAAGAGAAATAATGCAGTGCGAAGTAGGAGTAATATTGTATGAAGAGATTAATACGTGCATGGACGCTGCCATGATCAGGTAGAGTCGATACTGAATCAAATTAGATATCTGTTTCAAATTGAAATGTTCACTAGCAGTACTATCATTCGTTCATGTGGCACATCTCAAGTATAGCTTTTGCTAGGATTCACGATGACCACCAAGTTACTAAATTGGACCCCATCCAATATTTCTCAATCTTCCAAGTCCCTATGCGCGTAAAGACCACGACAAGAGTTAGTCCCATTACTTTCTTGAGCAAGGCTACAGCGACGTATCGGTCTTGGAACTGGATCCATCTTGACTGGTCCCTGTTTGAGAGTTGGCCGATCACTTGGCGTTGAAACTCCGCCGTGCATGTACGAAGTGAGTTCCTGGAACTGCGCAAGATTCCAAAGGGAAGCATCGTCTATCGTACCAAAACCCAGCATGGTTGAGAAACGTGAAAATTCTTCACCTGGTCATGATTTCAGAAGTGACGAGACTGCCGGTGGATGTAAAATTGGCGCAGTATCCATTTATCGAAATGAAATGGTGAAGCGTCACAAACTACGGCAAAGAAAAATCACGTTCGTATTCTACTCTAGATGTGAACCCCTCGTTTTGCAATCCAATGATGGATAGTATCCATACGGAATCCGTGACGGATACCAAGCACTGCTTCAGAACCTCCGAATCGGAAGCAGTACATGGTGTACTACACCTTGTCGACAGTAGTACGGTACAAACCACGGCAGATATTGAAGAACTGTTCTTCAATTTGAAGCTTTAAAGTCTGAGAATTCATCCTCTTCTGGAGAACACTTTTCAATTAGCAAGACCTAGGTAGCTGTTCTTCAACACAATGACTTTGACTCCAAAAACGGTAAGAATTGCGGATCGGTACGAGTGCCAGGAGGATGAAATTCCACGCACACTTTATCGCGTTCAGTATGACCAAAGCATGTCACTCCGAGCACGGGCAAACCCAGTTTTCACCTCCAGAGCGCACTTCAAGAGTGCCGTCGAGGACCATCTCGTTTGGGGCAATCGTGAGCCATCTCCTTTCGTCTCGACATTCGCGCATCGCCAGCACGCAATGAACTGGGCCAACAGTCAGTGTCAGCGTGCAGAGCAAGTGTCGCTCCTGGAACTCGATGCATCTCAACTGGACCGGATCTTCAGTGTTCGGGATTTGGTGAACTACAGAAATGTCCACACTAATCTACCCGAAAGTATGTACGAAGATGAATACCTCGTCTTGGGTAAGATCCGGCGCCGAAGCATTGTCGAGAGAATCGTGGTGTCTCCAAGATATGAATTGGAGGATCTAGCTCAGGCTTTTAATGGTTTAGCAGTCTGAAGTTCTCGACAGTGAACTTCCGTAAGTAATTTGAATACGATCGTATTGTTTATGGACTCATTTACGTAAAATATTATTCTGGTTCCCAATCGGATGGCGGAGGCTCTGTATCATCTCAGCGATTCGTTGACGTGGACGCCGACATCTGCACCTCAAGGGCAGTTGGTGGTGCTAGAGGACTGCGTGGAGGCCGGCGGGGTCTTCCTAGTGCATCACTTCACGTCGCTGTTCCTGAAGGCTGGCCATCGCGTATGCTTTGTTGCTATCGCCAACTCGCCTGCACATTATGCGGCGGTTGGAAGGAAGCTGGTAAGTAAATTATCCATGGGTTTAATTATTTTCAAAATTAATTGTTTTTGAGTGCAGGGTGTCAACTTTGCAGCTTGTCAGACAAAAAAACAACTTCAAGTGCTGGATTGGACCAGTATGGAGACGGATAGTACCAAGGCAGAGTGGACGGCGTTGTTTGAGGACTTAAAGAATTTTACCAATGAAGAGAAGGACGCTGCGGTGTCGATTGTGATTGATGATGTCAGTGCGCTCAAGTGGCGGTTTGGAGACGCTGCTGTGCTCGACTTTGTTCGCTGCTGCAAGACACTAACACACAACAAGAATGTGAGTGTGTATGGAGTTTGAGCTAGTGAATACGCACTGATACTGCGTTGTTTAGGGAGCTGCGAATGTGGTGCTATTGACTCATGCGGATACTGATCTCTCATCTTCAAGACCTCTGGTACATGCGTTGGCTAGCAATCGTGTGATGAAATGTTCAACTAATATTTCTACTGCAGAGCCTGGCACTTGCTGAAATGGCGACTGTGGTCTTAGCGACGAAGTCTTTGAGTACAGGCTACTCCAAGGACATCCACGGAACGGTATGTAACACTGTACTGTACGGTCCATAGTAACGTATTTTTCTCTTACCAACTCGTGTAGCTATTAGTTTGCCGTCAGAGCCAAGGCTTCAGTGTTAATGCACTTGATGAAGAACCGACTGCGATCCCGTACAAGATTTTGGAGAGTACAATCAAGTGTTTCCACTCTGGTGGAGAAGCGCTGCGTTGGAATTAAAAACCTACTTGAGCTAATCATTTAAAGCCAAGCGATCTTCCACAAATAGCGAGATAAAACCACTTCATCGGTTTGCTGTGTATGGCTTCAGTGTTGAGAAGTCATGCAAGTGCTCCCCACTAAGCTACGAGACGGATTCAAGCAACTGGCTCATATTGGCCGAGGAACCTATGGAGACGTAAGCACTAAAACAAAAGTTTATAACTGAAATCTCGATCAAGCCTTGCGATGTTATGTCTTGTAGGTTTTCCTATGCGAACACGTTGAGAGTGGGGGCCATGTCTGCCTAAAAGAGATGGATTTGACCTTCCTTTCCTATGATGAACGGTAAGCTGTTCACTGAGAGGGTGAAACTGGAACAGGCTAATGTTTCTCGTTGAATGTGAAGACAGAAATGTCTGAACGAGGTTGAGCTGTTGAAGCAGCTTCCTGCGCACCCGAACATCGTGGGGTTCCGTGAAGCCTTCTGGATGCAAAGTATTGACGAAACTCAGCAAGTTCTTGTCCTTGTTCTCGAACACGCAAATGATGGCGATCTTGAGCAGTATTTGCGTCGTTCGTGTATTAAAGAAGAAGAAGTCAGGCGGATCTTCCTCCAACTTGTACGAGGAGTGCATCATCTGCATAGTCATCGAGTAGTTCATCGTGATCTGAAATGTGGCAACGTCTTGCTCTTTGGATCCGGGCGAGTTGTTCTGGGCGATTTTGGAACGTCGAAGCTGCTCCCAACAACCGGACCAGATCAAGCGCTGGAAGCTCAGGGTTTGACGTCCACAGTGGTGGGATCTCCGCATTACATGAGTCCAGAGTTATTGGAGGGTGAGTCTCATGGGTTTGCCACGGACATTTGGTCTCTCGGCTGTGTACTGTATGAAATGCTGTCGGGTGGTAAACCAGCGTTTAATGCCTCGTCATACCCTGCTGTTGTTTTTCGCATCACTCAAGGAGAATACGATCAATTGGATTCGGATCTCGTGTCTTCCGAAGCACGAGATTTAGTAGCGAGGATGCTGCAGAAAGAACCTCAGAACAGACCAAGTATTACAGAAATACTTCAATCTTCTTGGTTCCACACCCTCCACACTAAAGAGCTGAAAGCTACAGGCTTTCAAGTCGATGAGAACTCACCGTCTGGTGAAGTTGTGCACTGTCAAGCAACACATCCTGAGTCAACTACGGTACTTGTTCAGCCCCTCCCAACACCCGTTGTGAGCAAAACCATTCAAGTCTCACTTCCACCAGCCCCAGACATTCGAAAGGGAAAGCCGCAAAAACGACAATTCAAGCTCAAAGAAGATGATTATTTGCAGCACAAAGTTGTTTCGCCGTTGATACGGGTATGTTGCCGCCTCAATCATTTAGTAGTTGATGGACACTAACTATTGTTGCTATCCATTCATCTAAAGTTTGACGAACTACCTCCACCCCCACCGATGCTCCCATCAAGGAAAAACAACTTGGCAGCATCACCATTTCCGTTAAAGCATCACCACTTGCAGCAGAACAGACTTCCAATGCAACCATCACCAGAGTTCGAAATTCGAGGTGTTCGCATCACAGGGACAGCAAGGCCATCCTCAGTTCCGAAGCCGTAATTCCTGCAGTTTGATAACTCATCGCGATATCTCGTGTTAGCTGTTAAGTAAGAATACTCTCATGGGCTTCATTTTACAGCTCATTTTTAATCAGTTATTGTTTCCGTCTCTGTTCGCGCTACACTTTCCCTTGAGACCAGTCTTTTTCATTATTTCAGAATACTTCGTAGGTCTGTTCTCAATTCCTTATACAATGGACGCCTTCCAAAATTGTATTATTCGGGTGTCATATCTGCAGCAGATATGGCGGGCTTTAAAAGATATATGGCGGCATAGTCTCCACCGCAGTCTTGTCCGATTATGACTGTCTCAAACTAGAAGTTACAATTGAAATTTAAAGCTGCTAGAAATGTACCTGTCACTTTGCACCGGACAGTGCAAGGGCGGCGATCTTCTAAATGTCAGTACTTCAGAATTTGAGCGCGCAGGATACAAGTGGAAGTACGATGGCGGACTACGCCGCTCTCGCTATGATGGAGGTCTTTGTTGCGCACATATAATTAGCAAACACGCGAACATACTTCATGGAGATCGTCGAACCTCTGCCGCTGCTGCATTTGCCCCCATCGGCCGCAGAATTAAAAGTGATTGAGGAGGCGGAAGATATATGCCTTCAAGTTAAGTCACTAGAGTGAGTGTGACATACGCAGGAATGAAGGTCATCATAAAATATACAAACTTCAAGATAAATTGTTAAGATGGCTACATGACATACCTCTAGGGGTAGGGAAATCTATTGACACGAAATCTACGCCTCCGAGTCGGGTATGCGCGCCTATGCCTTGACATATCTGCTGCAAATAAGTCGGGCAGTTATGTGATATTTGGAAGGCGTCCAATGGACGTCTGCCAAAAATGCAGTAAGTACCCACCATATCAGCAGCGGATAAGGCGGATTTAAAAAAGATATATGTTAGCTTATGTCTACCACAAATAAATTAAGACGGGTGTGTCTGTCCTATAAAGCTGTCCTATTTGCACAATAATTATTATGGAGAAAAAGTTGTACCCGTCACTTCAATCTGGACAAAAATCCTTCCATTTTGTTTTATCTGTGCTGTGCGGCTCATTCAGACTTTAGAGCGATTTTGAGGTGTCTGTTTGGCGAGCTATAGGTGCGCGAAAGCATTACTCGTTGATGACAATCCCTCATTAAAATGAGCTGATTATTTAAAGAAGGAAGTATTTGTAAACTCGAATCTATCCATGCTAAGCCCATTTTTACACAATGATGTGAGTTGCATACAAAAGTTCCAGAATTTTATTTCCCAGGACGTAGTTGCTTCAGCATCTCAGGAAGCCCATATCTGTTTTTTACTGTTAAGCTATGTGATTGAACTGAACTCTCTAAACACAATCATGATCGCGAATATTGCCTGATTGCATTAGGGAGGACTCAGAATTGAGAAGTGGTGTGAAAAAAAGGCCATAAACGCAATGGTCCGCGCGCTCTTCGCACCAAAACTATGACTCTGGGCTCCTCCTACCGTTTACCATCCACTTCACTTTTCAATTTGCACCATGCTATTCCTCTACCTATCTCTAACAACCTCTCAGTCGTCGCTTAAACATTGAAGCGCTGGAGGCGTTGAGTGAGCAGTCAGCTGCCGCAACACGATGGCGGTGGCATCGACGGAGGCGCTACCGACAGCAACCGACATAGCTGGAGAACCATCATCATTGGAGCTGCGCAATCGACTACGTGCTTCCGCGTCAACAGCGGCACCGCATAATCGAAGCCAACGGTTGGTCCTGCTCGGTGGCGAGTGCTGCTCCCCTGTAAGGAAAGGGAAGTAGGAAGTAAGACCGTGAAACTTCTTGTTAATGAATCTCACTTCGCAATTTACTTTCAAGCGCTTAACTAGCTACAAACATGAAAAACGCCGATATCGTACGCGTGCTGTTCATGGACGCAACTATCACTGATCGCACTTGCTGTATAGGCGATCTAGTCGTCAAGCAAGCCAAACAAGCTGGCTTAACGCTAAACTGGGTCTTGGTTACATATCAACTGCAATTAAAAACGCCAAGAATACAGAGTGGAGCAACCAGGTAGATGACAGTGACGTAGAGTAATGCATGAACCAATCTATTGACAATCATCACGCTTGTGATTGTAAATATTGCAATAATTGATTGTGGTGCTGTGAGGGGAACAATAAATAAACAATCTATATTTCCACAGCTCTGCTAGCCAATGGAGGGTACACGCGGCTTACACAGTATCTAGAAGTGTCCTTGGGCCTTGACCTATTTCGCCTCTTCACTTGCGGCTGATTCGGCCCGTGAACACCGACGAGAGCTTGCAAAAATGTACAACCGTAAATATTTATGTATGTATTGAAAAGGTATCTGGAAAATAACACGCAATATGTTACGAATATCTGGTTAAAGCCGGTTGTAGGGGGTTTCTGATTAAACAGGTAAAATCTGAAATATAGGGGGCAGCTGCCGATGCTGTGGTTGCCTCTGGCAACTTGCCAGGCGTTTGGAAGGTAATACTTCTAGTTTCCAGCCCGCCACCCCAAGAGTCTCTTCCTCCACCTCCTCTTCCCTCCTATTGCAGGGCCAGTTTAATATACTATAATCATCAAATGGGCTATTAATTCTCCATGTAATCTGATTCGTTCTATTACCACCCCTCGTATGAAGGTTGGGACATGTGCTGTATATCAAAAAATGTTGGACTGTCGGTCTTCAATAAGCGTGGCTACTTGGAGCCGTTTTCTTTCCTCTTTTCAGTTTGTATCCCGTAGTACCAGAACATATTGTTGTCCATTGGTCCGCTAGTATCTTGGTGGAGCCTGCAGAATAAGGCTTCTACTAACAGGTACTTGTGTTGTACTAAGCACATTCAACTACGCAGTGACTGAATCTCTGATATCTATTTCTAGTACCTTTCGTTACGTATAAAGTAGTGTTTCCCAGTTAAGTCGAAGACGGTCTAGTAAAACATAATACAATAATATGCAAAGTGAGCATTTTCATTGGGGGGTCACACGTCACCGCAAGAACACTCTTTGAGTCAAAAGCAGTCTAGGCTCGAAAAGCTTTAATGTCTGGTAAAGACCGTCTTTCTTCAAGGCGCTTCAAGATCGCGCCAACATTTGTCGTGGCCTTCTGGACGGCTATACTGTTAGCGATTTACGGTCTTCGAATGTCCGCAGGATCTGCTATTGCAGAAATCGACAACACTTGTGGGCAACTATTCGCATGTCCCAAATGCGCCCGCCGAAGAGATCACTACGGTCATGACCTGGTTCCATAGCACAGCACACCTTTGCCTCACTTTTTTTTTATCAGTAAAGGTTGTTGCGTCAATTTGCTCACGTAATGATGCGTTAAAGCGTAAAGCATGTAAGTTAATGTAATCTCGATCAACAAAGTTGAGTAGATACCAGTAACCAAACACGCAAATACATAGGTTGGTTACGTGTTACCTCTGCTAAGGAGAAAACGCACATTTCAAATAAAAAATTCGCGAGGGGGGCATAAGATTTGCAGAGGTTTGCTGTACGAACCTCTTGCACAAAATTGGCTATTGGCAGTGTATCACGCTAGTACTAGGGGCGGGTACACGAGAGAGGAAGGACACTTAGGCCCATTCTTGATCAAAGCAACTTGCATGATCAATATGTAGCCAGACGCGTTGCGTGCTCCGCCAATTCAGCTCTAACTTCCCTTACGAGGTATGGGAGCCATCTTGAGGCCCATCCCCGCTTCATAACGCAGCGCAACACAGTAGTATTCTCTTGCTGGACTAGTAGATTTCAGCAGGACATCACTGACTTAAGCAAATGACAATGCAGCTTGCCATACTTTATGCGAGGCGCAAGATAAGCGAAATCGTTGCATAGTTCCGCCATCAAAATCGATCTTCACGCTCCAGTGTTTCTTCCCTACAGCAGCACAATCTAATACTACTTTTAAACAACCTGCGTCTACATTAGCACCCAGGATCGTATATCAACAGTCTGCACATTTTTGCCTGACGCAGCATCTCCAGGCGTACGCATCGTATCTATTCCCCCTCCCGATTTCCGTCCTCCGGTTAGAATTCTTCTTCACTTCCTAGTTGGTTTGTTGCGTGATACTGCCTTGATTTGCTATACTCTGTCGCACCCATTTCTAATGAATCTTAGTCATAATCTCTTGAGCTGGAGGGGAGAATCTTGAGTAGTGACCAGTTCGACGGGAAAAAACAAACGATGCAAAATCCTGTGAAAACGATTTATTCGTGTTTGGGAGGATATGCAAATTAACCAACATTGTGAAAGCACATCATAGGGCGTTATTTGCTTAGCGGAGGCAGTGAAAATAAAAGAAAGGGTCTGATGAGATTGGAGACTTGAGTCAGTAGTTCATGTAATGGTCGATCGTAACTCGTATTATTAGCCAGGATTGGTTATAGTTACTACCACATTAGATGTTGCTAGGGGTAACTTAACCACCGAGCAAATCCTCGTAAGGGAAGATATTTTCTCGTAGAGCACACTCACGGCAGGGCTTTGCGTGCCATTAATGATGGCCGAGCTCTTAATCCTTCCCAATCGTTTCCCGCATTTTCTCAAGCCACGCTGCGTGTTCGGCCGCTTCCTTGATAGACTATTTTAACTTGGCGGTCTTTTTCGCAGCTTTAACTGGGTTCAGTTTACTCGCCGCCTTTTTCACCTCCCCGAAGCCTCTCTCTTCCTCGATCTCACTTTCATCATCATATCCAACACGTCGCAACAGCCGCCCTCCATTGGTTTGCAGAAGAGCGACAACATCAGTCGAGGCATCGCTAGCGACCAAAGTCTTCGGGTCCGTGATCAAAGGGAGAGCGGTGCTGCCGGAATGGAGAATGGCCACAATAGTCACAGAGAAGATGTTGGTAAGACGCATGTTTGCTGTCGGTTCTTGAGAGGGAGGAGACTTGCCGGCTGCCGAGGGAATCGCAGAATGAAATGGAGTTGTGCGAGTCCTTCCAAGTTAATGGCTCCAAACTTATCAACTCATATAAACCTTTATTGAGAATACAAGTATGAGATAGGAGCTTTGGTTGGCGTACTGGACAACTGCAGGGATCGAAATAAATACATCAACATATTTACCGATTGATTGTTTTCTGCTCGCCACAACAACGCGACAAATACATTAACAAATTTACCGATTGTTTCTGCTCGCTACGACAACGTGACGTACCGTGTGGCTGTGTCCATTCGACCATCGTTCAGACCTCCTTAAAATCGGCATATGCCGAGTTGTGTCGCATTAGCTTAGTTCCGGCACATCCAGAATCTTATTTCCGGCACTATGTCGATATATAGCTACCTTGATTACTTTCGCTTCTTTAGATTGTAGAGTTCGTCAAACTGCTACGCCTGGAATATTCCTTCAAAGGCCAGTGAAGTCATAGCGGCTCGACGGTCGTTCAATTTCCACTTTAATATGGAGAAGTCAGACTCTATCGATGCCGTGTTAGCAAATATTGTTGCTAAACCACATCCAAACTGACGGAGATGCTTAAACGTTTTTGGTTTTGCAGCTTCCTCCAGTGCGTCCCACCCTTCATTAAATTTCGTTTTGAAGTCCTGCTTGTCCAACACTGACCTGATTGAATCATTTAGCGCGTTTGCTAGGAATACATCTCTATGTTCGCGCTCTGCAGCTTCAACTTGATCGAGATTCCAACATTTCATCAGTTGATCACGCCGAGGTCCCAACACGTTCTCACCAAAATCCCGTGGAGTGACCAAAACAAGCTCTGATGGCATCACTGGTGGTGCGAGCTTTGTCGCTGGCTTGTTTTTATTACCTCTATCGGCTTGTACAAGCTCCATTCCTTCAATAACAGAAACCACAAATTGGCCTAGCTGTTGAAGAGTCGATTGCCTCTCTTCATGTCCTAGAGAGTCCAGGTGCGTTTTCTTTGATCTCGCACATAATTGATGAGGTCTTGCTCCTTGAGCCAAAACTTTTCCGTAACTGTGTCATTTGCGCGATGTGAGAGTGTTTTCTCGATTCGTGGTTGGATTGACAAAAGACTTCGCAATCCAGCCACTAGAGCTTTTATTTCTTTCATTTGCTGCGGTAGAAGCGTATCTTTCGCTTGGATTTTGGTAAAAACTCAAATTAGCCACAGATGTGATTCCGTAGACAACACCAGCATTCACCCACGATATCGAAGGCGGTAAGGCAGACGTACGTTCTTGAAAATGAGACTGTAATTGAACAGGATTTTTAGGATCGATTCCAGTGAGTTGCCCATGTAGTGTCAATTTATTTTTGCTGCAGTACCCATTTCCGCAATCAATAGTTATTGTCTGCGAAGATGAACGATTAAATCCTTCGTCTCATTCATGAAGTTTCCGCCACCAACAATTGCAAATGCTGCTTTCATAACAAGATTCATTTGATGTGCCGCACACCAGACGCGTAGTATAGGATGAGTAGCCTCCTTTACCAGCAAAGTGACTACACCTGCACGACTACCTGTCATAGTGCTCTCACCGTCGGAGGCAACTCCAACCATCTTGTCTCTCCATTGGGCATAAAGAGCATCAAGTGTAGATACAATCAGATTAGTTTGTACTGTTGCAGAATGGCGTTCGAAGACAGGAATTGCAACCTAGGGTATGATAACTAGAACACCGTCGATTGCGAGCCGGAGACGTTGATCAATGAAAGAACATTCGTTGTGCGTAGAAAAATCGCTAGCAAAGGCAAAGATCCACATGTTTCAATTGGAAATGAGTTCACCGATCGGCTGGAAGAAAATAGCCATGAGAAACCTTGCGTAGATACTCGCCAACGTGTCTGTCATCCCCTGTAGCTTGTGATGTCCTGTTGCTTGGTAGTGCTGCTGAATAACAGCCGAAACGTGTAGCTATGCCATAGCTACACGAAGTCCTAGCACGGGATTTGTGTTGAGTAATCGCAGGATTGTTTTCTTTCTTTTTAGTAACAATGATATATTTTGCCATCAGAATATATTTATAATATCTTGCGTTAGTCTAATCAGGCAATGACGCGGGTTCAGTTTATAGGTGCCAACTCGATGTTAAGGTTTTGTTGAAAGGCACTCTTGCACTTGAAGAAGGACACGTGGGAGAAGGTTTGAAACGAAAGGGAAAAGGAAAAGTGAGATTGGTATTAGTGCAAACAATAAGGTGTTATCCTATTGTTTGTATCTGGTAGTCTAATACACAGTAAATAACTG